AGGTCGCTTTTCCGTCTTTCCGGTGCTCCCCAAATTTCAAGTTTCCCTTGACGTATTTTGGTTTGGATCCCCACTGGGGACCCCCACATGGATGTCCAGTTGCTGTCAATGCGCCCTCTTCCTTTCGGGAGCCGTGCCCCCCTTCACAGGTTGTCTTTCCTGTAACGGTCCCTCATCAACGTTGTGACGTGCTCCTTAACGAGTGTTAAGTTATGGTTGAATATGTAGTCGGTGTATATTTCAATGTACCTGTTCCGTAGAAACTTCCGATTCAGAGTTTCGCAAGCCTTCCTAGCCTCCTCCTCGTCATCAAAATAAACATGCGCTTGACCAGTGGGTTTGTTTTTTACCCCCCTAATGATGTGAATAGGGTACCCTACCTTGGCCAATTGGAAATTCTTAAAAAAGGTTTTTATTTCTTCTTCTGTAGCGTCGAATGGTAGTCCTCTCAATTTCAGCCTAGGCAGGTTAACTTTTTCTTCCTGCACATGTTGATATTCGCTGAAAAATCTTCGAACGTTTTGGGCGGGTGTTTGGTGCGCCTCCCGTAAAGGTGTGCCCCGCATATTGGCAGTGCTAACCAGGTTAAATGCCTTGCCTATCAGGCTTTCACATTTCTGCAGTGTTGACATCATTTTGTATTTTGGTGTAACTTCCCCGGGTGGGTGATTCGGCGCATAGTTGTATACCCGCCACGTCCTCCCCTTTTTCTAACTTTCCAAATGGGTGAAAAACAGAAAAGTTCGCCTGATGTCGGCTGTCGCCTACCACAATCGAGGTTGGTCCTTTTGGAAATCTCATAAAGGTTTTCAAATGGTACGCTTTTAACGAAGGGATGGCTGATAGGGGTCTAGCAAAAAAAAAAATAAAGGAAAAAAAAAAAAAAATCCTATCGCTACCCCTGTTGCGTAAGTCCAACTGAATGGCTGATTCGGTCCCGCGTGGGGCACATGTCAAGAAGGGGAGTGAATACGCGAGGAAATGTGAAGGCATATGTCAATCGCCACGAGGGCGACCAACGTCATTAAGAGGTAAACATCACAAGCGTAGTAATAGTGACAAACGTAGTAAAAGTGACAAACGTAGTAAAAGTGACAAACGTAGTAAAAGTGACAAACGTAGTAAAAGTGACAAACGTGGTAAAAGTGACAAACGTGGCCAACACGGACAATACGGAGAAACCTGACGAGTTAAGGGCACACCCAAGCGCATCTTTATTTCACGTACGAACAGTAGCCGGGCAGTTGAACGCGGAAGAAGCAGAAATCCTCCCAAGTTAATTTCCTTTGCCTTTCCCCTTTTCCTTCTCCTTTCCCCAAACGTTCCAACCCATCGCACGTAGAATTTATGCGTCCTGTACGAAGCAACAGAGAACCCCTTTTGACAAAACTACGAAAGGTTAACCGACACAAGAAAGTATGGACGAGAATATCAGCAGCGGTTTCGGTGGCGGCCTCAGCAGTGGCGGTAGCGGCAGTAGTGATGCTCGTTTAAAAAGAATAGAAGAAGAAAAGAAGAAGCTGAATGGAAACAACTTAAACTTACTCCTAGCAGACTTGAAAATGATGACTGCATATGAAATGTCCTCCGAGTGGAACGACACCAACATGATGAACGAGTGCTTTAACAACTTCTCCTGGTTCGATTCAAGAGTTTTGAAAAATATGGAAAATTATTTAAGTGCAGATGAAGTGGAGCGGTCTAAGATCGATTACGCCTATAACACCTTGTTTCCGAAGCCAGTGGACGTGAAGGACACAAAGATGAATATGATGTCCCTGTGGATCAAGTCGCGCATTCATTACAACAACAGCTTTTTCCCGTTGCAGCTGTCCCCGTACGACGCATGATCGGGGTGGGGAGCGCGCCAGGGAGAGAGCGGCAAGGGATCGCGGCAAGGGATCGCGGCAAGGGATGGCGGCAAGGGATGGCGGCAAGGGATTGCGGCAAGGGATTGCGGCAAGGGATTGCGGCAGGTCTGTCCGTGCCACCATGTGATGCATACACTTCACCACAGCGCGTTAATGTAGCTTATTCATTTATTGTCTTTTATGCTGCTTTATTATGTTTACTATGGTTATTATACTTATTATGCTTATTATTTTATTTTTTTTTTCATTTCTTTTCCCCTTTTAAATCATTTCTTGCCCACCCTTTCGTGGCACGGCCAACTCCTCGCATGAAGCTCTCCCCATACAAGTGTTCATGCCAAGTGGCAGACCAAAGCCCCGGTGCGATTAACTCTTACTCCTTGTACGTTCCTCACAGGAGGGGAACCCCTCATGAAGAGGATACCCCTCGAAGTGGTAAAATAACGTTTAAGCGGCAAAGTGGAGAAAAGGAAGTTCTTTTTTTTTTTCCACTGTAACGCTGATTATTTGTGACACTTTTGAAGTGTTCCCCTTCGTGACACAAATGTGGGGGGGGAGGAGTAGGGGGTCACCAGCCACCCCCTGGAGAGACAACGAGTGGTAGGCCCCACTTCTCTACACTTGGGGTTATGGCTACCCCCACCCAACGTATGTACGCAGCTGAGTCCTTCATCGCATGGTGTGTCTCTTTCCACCAAGAGGAAACGGCGAAGACAGCGAAGACGGCGAAAGGAGCCGAAACAGCCCAAACAGCCAAAACAGCCAAAGCAGCGAGAACAAGTCCTCTCACACCAGTAGTTGGTCCATCTTACGCCCCAGCTGGTCCACATTTGAGTAGAACTTATTCAAAACGAAGAGGGGCACATCCAGGGCCTCCTTTATGTAAATATTGGTGGCAAGTTCCTCGTATTCAACTCGGTTGAAGTTATCTACCATATGCTCATCATTCGTATTGGCTGCTTCACCTGTGAAGAGGGAAAAAGGGGAAAAACCTCTCATGGGGAATGCATCTCCAAGGGAGCCGTTATTTATATGCCCATTGGTGCAACCCTTTCCTTGAGGGACCCACCCACGGGATGGAAGAGTAACACATATTGTACATAAAATCTTCCCACGCGATAGAAGAGCAGCCGCTGGCCCAAACGAACCAATGGAAGAGAAGTACTCACCAAGCTTTAGCGCATCCGATGTGAAGAAGCACTCGGGTGGAGACGCTGGGGAGAAGCGACCCCCATGAGCCACATGTACACACACAGGGGCAAACAAAAAAAGATATTCGATCATACTGTAAATGGAGAAAATGCTCTCAAAAATATATTTGATTATGTTCTTGGCTTCTTCAAAGTGGAAGAGGATAAATTGAGCGGAGACTCGTCTTTGTTCATCTGCTTCGAGGGGAAGTGGGTCTTCCTTGTTGTTTTCCTTGTTGTCTTTCTTCTTTTCTTCCTTCTTTTCTTCCTTCTTTTCTTCCTTATTGTCTTCCTTATTGTCTTCCTTCTTTTCTTCCTTATTGTCTTCCGTTTGTTTTTTTCTCGTCTCATTGGTACTAATTCCATTCGCGTTGTCTGTTTCCTCTCCTGGTTTTCCTTTTATCTTAACGCTCATGGGTTGTTTGTCTGACGTAGTGTTCTCCCCCGCTTTGCTGCGGACCCTGTTGGAGGGCCTCACGACATTGTTCCTATTCATGGAGTAGGGCTCATCCTCTACGGGAGGACATCCCCCCTCTTGGGGAACATCTCTGTTCAAGTTTCTTCCCCATGTTGGGTCCGCCATCCAACCGTAGTGCACATTTTTACTCATCAGATGGAAGAAATAATTGATGGCTTTCTTCTTTCTCCCTTTTTTTTCTTTTAAATTGTCTCTGATTTTATGCAGCGTCATAAGAATGATGGAAAGAAATAAATTCAGCTTATACACGTCCAGCCCTAACCTGTTAGCGAAGAGGATGGCTTGTATCACTACGGCTATGACCAGTTTGCGCTTGTGTGCATCTTTGGCAGGTTTCCGGTCTCCGTACAGGCACTTTGCTATCTCCTCGCTGATAAGCTCCTGTTCGTCATTCACGTTTTTGTTGTTAAAGAGGGGGTGGCAGCGTTTTTTTTCGCCTTCCCTGTTTAGCGGCGACGTTCCACTTGGCGGTTTCTCCCCATTTTGCGGCGACTTTACAGTTGGCGGCTTTTGCTCCTTTTGCTTCTCCTCCCCCTTCTTCACCCGTTCCCTCAACGAGCAGTCGTCCGAAAGGAAAACCCACTCGCAGTTCCCCAAAGACATAATTTTGTGTCCCTCCCCCTTCAAACGCTTCGCATGTTTAAAAAGCTCCAGTATTCCCTCCAACATTTCGATGGAGAAAAAAAGTACGACGTCCTCATGGTAGAGGTTTTCCATCGCTGCCATTTTGCAATTGCAAGGGGGAGACACTACCTCGAATGTGTAGACATAAAATGGGGAAGGTCACAACGTGGGATGTTCTTTAATTGTTTCTTTTTTCAACGCTTAAAAATGGACACTTTTTTTTTTTTCTACGTTTGAGGATATACTCCATTTGGACGATTTTATCATCCTGATGGATGCCCCTTTTTTTCAATTTTTTTTTTTTCTTCCAAACTGGAGTGCACGAAAGAGGGGTCTTTGATTGTGCCCGCTGAGAAATTACCCCCCACGAAAGGTGAAAAAAAAAAATGCCGTGCGATCTGCCTCTCCCGGAGGAGTGCCATTTAACAGGGACAAAATATGCTAAGTGGTCGGTGAAAATATACGTAACTCTTTTTTTAACAGGGCGGAAAAAATTGCTGCTTTATGTTCCCCCTTAAAGTGCCTCCTCTATGGAAGGGAGAAAAAAAAAAAAAAGAAAAAACACATATATATTTATCTACGTATGTAGGCATGCATGTATGTACCCATAACCGGCTCAAGGGACGAAGCAAACGAGGGAGCAATCTATGCTGGGATGTGAAGGCGTATGCGTGTATGGACCCCTATGTGAGGACACACTACAGGAGAGAGGTGCCCCCCGATACACTGAACTCCGACGTGGCAAGGGGGAGGCTTATCCTCGCACAGGCACGTAACTGCGTAGGGCATAGCGGGCAACGTACTTATAGGGGGATCGGTACGCCGGGACGTCGCAGCTGAGTTGATAGTTGACACTTCAGGGGGGACACTTCAGGGGGGACACTTCAGGGTGAACAGTTGACAGTTTAGGGTTGACAGCTCATGGGTGATAGCTCAGGGGTGATGGCTGATATTTCTTCAAGCCACCCCGTGCATCCACTTGACTGGGTAGCCTCGTCTCGGCTTCTATTCCTTGCTCCCCTTCCCGGTGGGAGGCAGTCAAAAGGAAGGGCCCAAATAAAGAGGCCAAACAGTGCCGCAGCCACTTCACAATCGCGCCGCAGCCATTTCACAATCGCGCCTCAACCCCGTCCCAACCGCAGCCCCGTGGCGGAGACCAGATGGGGAGAAACGACGCGTACAGGTGTAGAGTCCTCCTCTGGCAGATCTGTAGAAGGACGTTTGTTCCCACGCCCCCCTGGGGGGGAAAGTCAATCCAGGGATTTGTTCCAAAGCTGGGGAAAGTGGCACCCACAGAGGGAAAACAGAGGACACAAACGGATAAGAGAACATTCTTCCTCACTCTACACACAAAAGGGAAAGAGAGCACAGAGTTGAAACACACAAACGCATCCCCTGCCACTTCGAAAGTACGAACCACCCTGAACAAGTACAAGATACACATAATATACTATTCAGTTTTTTTCTCCCTATTTTGTATGTTCTCATACTGCGTTATAAATCTACTAATTATGGTTCTTCACGAACCACAGTCTGTAAAAATGGTGAAGGAGAGGGTCTTAATGGACCAGGCGTTGGTAGAAGAGTATGGGAAAGTCACATTCTCTCGCTTCTGGACTGGCCATATAAATGAGAATGACGCCAGAATAATTATTAATATAAAAAGTGACACGAAAAAAAACAAAAAGGGGAAAGTTATTGGGAACCTTGTCAAGCAGAAGGACGACACGTGGGTTATTAAGACGTTAACCTATTACACGATTAAAAGGAATGAAAACTTCCAGACGGATGACTTGAAGACGCTGCGACCCAGTGATGGCCAAGGCTCCGTCTGCCCGGTGGATCACCAATCTTTGGGCGCTCCCAGGGTTAAGGGGTAGCCACAGGGGGAAGGAACACAAAAAAAAGAGCGGCAGAGTGGATGACGCGGCGCAGCGCCGCGTCAGCCTATCCTGCTCAGGATGTTCTCCTCGAGGTACTCCATCTTATCCTGTGCAAGAGAAAAAAAAAAAAAAAAAAAAAAAAAATTACGCACAAGTACATTTGTTAAATGAACTTCACACCTTTTTTTGGTTTGCTTTTTTAAAAATGACGAGCTTCCCTGGTGTTATTACCTCCTTGGACTTGTTCTTCCAGCTTGTGTATTCCACCGTGAGGACCTGTGCTCGTCGACGGGGGAGAAGTAGCTGGTTGGTGTAAACTGAAATAGCGGCACACAGGAAAATGGGAAGGCACTGGGAGGACCCCTCTATCTTGTATACATGGTGCATCCACAGTAGGCGGCCACGCAGGGCAGCTTCCACCGTACCTTCCAGTTGAGCCTACGAAGGAGGTAGTACTTCAGCCTGCTCTTCGCGTTCAGTTCCCCGCCGAAGGTGTAGTAGTGCGTGAACCCATTGACTTCGATGCAGGTCTGCGAAGGGGATGGGCGGCGGAAAGGGGAGAGTCAGTGTGAGAGAAGTATCTCTCCGTTGGTGCGGTTGACAATTTCCCCCGAGGGAGGTGTAAGGACCCTTCCCCGCTGCACAGACATATTTTACCCGCTTTTTCTGCAAAACGAAATCGAGGACGTAAGGGCCTACGGGGAACTCGCGGTCCGCCTTAAGACCCATTTCTTTGAGCAGCTTCTCCAGCTGCTTCTGCATCTTGGACACTGTTAATGTGTTTTTTATTTTTTTTCTTTCGATCACGTCTATGGCTTGTTCGTAGTCCCCCCCGAGTTCCCTCAGGAGGTACAGCACTATGTGGATCTGCAACGAGGGGGGGGGGAAAGCGGTTTGGATATGCTTACACCTATTTCAGCGTTTGCGTGTCAATTTTTCTAATACGTGCACCGCTACACGCGCTCTTTGTACCTGCTTGAGCTCCTCGTTCTTCAACACGTTCACATTTTGCAGCAGCAGCGCCGTGACGTCTCGCAAGACCTCCTCTAGGACATCAGTCGAGGGGTCACGTGGCAGGTGGACGGACTCCCCTTTTAACAAATCGACCTCCTCGCCATCTCCAACCAGCCACAGAGCCACGGAGTAAACAATATTACACAGATACTTGGCTTCAAACTCGGTGTATTTCTTATAGACATGCTGGTGCAGTAGGGTCATGTACAGGTCCCGGTTCAGCTGTAGCATGGAGAGGCTGAGCAGGATGGTCGTCAGGACTCCTTTGTCCTAAAAAACATGCAGGGAAAAAAAAAAGGGAAGCAGATGTGATTCCACTCGCCGTTCCGCAGCCCCCCCGATGCACCACTCCAATGCACCACTCCAATGCACCACTCCAATGCAGCGCGCCTCCCTTCCGCTCCACCCACCTGACTCACTATCGGCATGAAAAAACCCTCGATGATGCCGCAAATCTCGCGAACCGTCTCCCCATCGTTGTAACTATGCTTGTTGTAGACGTACAAAATCATGGACAGATCGAAAAGAGAAAACATACGGAGAGAACCTTTAACATAATGTTGCGTGAAGAATGTTAACGTGTTAAAGTCGAGAGAACCCATCTTGTGTAGGTCTATAATAAGCTGAGTCAACGTCCTCATGTCATTGAACACAGGCTTCCTACTCAAAATTGATTTGACAATTTTGCTATACAAAGAATACTTAACGAACTTTAGCTTACAAAATGTGTGTACGACAAATCCCATCTCACATGTCGTCATTTGATTTGTGTAATTGCTGAGCAAAGTTGAGACTGTGTTGAGTATTTCCTTCTCGGTTAGATTCACCAGTTGCATGTTCTTCATTAAGTAAAGCAGTTTGTTTTTTCCAATGTTGTTGAAGTTCATCCCTAGGGATAGCTTCCTCCGTTCGTCCCCCTCGGGGGGCGCCCGTCCCTCGCATGCTGCTTGGCCAATCCGTGCGTAGTTTGTGAATAACCGTGCGAGCGTGCGCAATGCGATCTGTTTGGACCTAAGTTGCATCATTGTAAGCACGGTGATGTGGGGGAGGCAATCTCCATCACGTTCGCCCTAGCCTGATGGCACTTCCTCACGGTGCGTGTTTTCTCTTCTGGGCCTCCTCCCTGGCTTCCTTCCCCGTGCATTCAACGAAAATGTGGTGAACCGATAGGCAGGTCAGCAGCTTAGCAGATCACCAGTTAGTAAGTCAGCAGGTTAGCAGGTCGGTTCAGTTTCACGCGACGATGGCAACGGGAGTATTCGCATGTACCGCCGAACATTCACGCATGGTGAAGCTACTCCTGTATGACCTCTTCAAGAGTGATATCTCTATCCCCCCCGGGTTGGTTCCCCCGATTCACTGTCCCCCTTGGTCCAATCCCAACGGTGCGTAGCACTACCGGGGTGGTGTAGGGGGGGGGAGGCTCCTCTGTGCGGGGTTATTAAGGGGCGCACCTTGGCGGGGCAAAACACATGCATGAGGCCACGCCTGTTGAGGTGGATTAAAAAAGATAGATGAAAATGTGCATCCCTGTGTGGTGTCATTTGTAAGCCATCTCTGTGAAGGGAAGTGATTCCCACTCAAAGGTTTAGGAAGCCCCACCCCTCCTCCCCCCACCTTTCCATCCATGGTCAGGAAGAAAGGGCATCTTACCAGGGCATCACATCAGCGCACCTTACCACGCATGATTGCGAAGATATACAAAAAAACAAAAACGCACCGCGTGGAAGGAACTAAACCATTCGGGTTAGCTAACCCATTGTGGGATCCCGCGACAGACGCGGGGAGGGGTAAGGGTCACTCCCTATATTTAGATGCACATATCGAACGGAGATGACCATGTATACCCTTGGAAGGGGACCCTCCAGAAGGGGTGTGATCAGCCCTCTGTACAAGTTCGTCACCCGAGGGGTTAACACACGCACGGGAGGGATGGAAGAATCAGATAGAGGGGCACCCCCGTCTTCCAACGGTGCAGCCACCCCCGACATGGAGCGGCTCCTGGTGAGGTACAAAAATCTGGGGACTAAAGACAAAGTCAAGCTAATCACCACTCACTTACGCAATGTGAAAGATGCAGACGTGAGTTTGATATACAATTTCGCGAGAGAGAGGCAGCCCATGAGGGGAGTCATCCAAAAGGAACAAGACAAACAGGAAGAGCGGCACGAGCAGCACGAACGGGAAAGGAAAAGAAAGTTAAAAATAGTTAAGTTGCAGAAGCCACCATTCATGCAACAAAGAAGTGGTAAACAAACCTCGCGAAATAATCTGTCCTTCAAAAATGACTACAACAGTGACGAATACGTGGACTGCTTGGAGAAGGAGCAGCAGCTGAAGGGGGCAGAGCAGTACACACTGATTGAGGACCTGTACAAGGCATACATTTACAGCAGAGCTTTCGCGGCTTTGTCTAACCAGTACAGGACGAGACATACCATATCGAATGACTTCCTCCACGTGATGATTCGCGCGATGAAGAGTTCCATCCTCGAGAGAGTAAATCCCACGCTGGTGAACGAGTTTGCTCATTTCACCAATCCGTATATGCTCATGAAACATGCCTTAGAAAATTTTATCCTCCATCGACATGTAAAGAACCCGTATGAGGAGTCGCTCATTTGTGAGCATCTCAAGAGGAAGACTCATATGAACGTTTTAAAGTTAGACAGCGCTGAGGTGCCCGTGGAGGTCTATGAACCTCTGGCTTCCTTTCGTGGGGACATAAATTACAACTACGATGTGCGGGAGAAGTTCGCCAATATCATTCGCACGCAGCTAGACATCCTTGGCGTGGTTACAGGGGGAGCCACTGACACGATGAGCAACTTTGGGGGTGATGACGCTACACGTAGCGAGTCCAATTCCGACCAACTGAACGACGTGCTACGAATCCTGCCTGAGAACGCGCGTGCGCCATTCCAAAATTACCCCTTCGATAACCTCAAGGCGTTGAAGACGAAAATGAGAAAAAAGTACATGGGGGGAATCAAAAACAGCAAGCCGATCAACGTGGAAGACGAAGAGCTCAGCCATATGCGGTATCCAAACCTACAGTCCGTTGCGCATTCCTTGCCAGCGGATCCTAAATATAGAGCCAACGTCATACACGCAATTAAGGTTTTGGAGCGATCCAAGCATTGGGATCACGCCAGTAAAATTAAAGCTATAAACACCCTAGTCGACGTCTGGAATGATATGCATTCCAGTGATCACTATGAGAATTTGATGGATAAGTGCCTCCCCGTTATTTACACGAAAGACATGCTGCGCAAAACGAAGACTCGCCAGGAGACATACAACCGAGGGCTCGTCTACTTGCAGTCCCTCACCACGCAGAAGCCGCTGGGCGCGCGCCAGAGAAAGGGGTAACACCGAGCAAAAAAGGGGTCACTCCTTCCAAGGGGTGTCAGCATTCAAAGGGTGAAATCCTATTGCGCGTTGTTGGCGTTTATTTCATTTTAACCTGCTCTGTGTGCGGTGTCGGCAGTTACATAGGGGGCCCATTCAATGCCCAATTTTGGGAAAACCTCTACGAAGGATGTTCGGAGGGGTTTCACCCTTCACCCCCGGAGAAACCAATACATTGCAAATATGCGAAGCTTTCCAAACGGATTATTTTTTCCCTACCTGGACAAAAAGAAAAAATTGAGGAGGAAAGAGACGATCGGCGATTGATATGACAATTCGGGGATGGCTACATGTTCTTGCCTTTTAATTTTGCCATTTTGCATTTTGTTTTTTTTCCGTTCGGCTTGCTATTTTTTTTTTGTTTCATCATTACGCCTTTTTTGTCCGTTCCCTGGGTGGCATGCGCGTGGACAAGCAAACATATATCAATGCAAATGCATATGGCCCCCGCGCCGCTCGAAAGGACGGCATGCCAACGTGGTTGTTTGGCGCGGCGCCAAGGCTGCGTTGTACGTGGACACATAGGATAAATGCGCGTCGATCTGTTCTCTTCGAAATTGTCCACTAAGGACGTGCAAAAAAGAACTCACGAGCATGTACATAAAAGCATATCTACATATAAGAAGCATACCTTATACAAACAGACAAACATATAACTACTTCCACATGTACGCACAATAAACAAATGGCGGAAGCGCGCGGAAAGACCCACTTGTAGGGACGGCGCGCGGAAAACCACATGCAAATAAGAAAAACAAAAAAAAAAACAAAAAAATGTATAAAATACAAACATATATAAGTACATACATATACATTTTTATGCACACAAAGAGTGACACCTCCGCTGACGCGAAGCCTGCAAGTGAGGACCACAAAAGGACAAACGCATACGACGCATATATAGCCTGGTGATGGCGCGAAATGACAACGGAGCGGTAGATAGGGTTCGCCGTGCGTCGTCCAGTCGTTCAGTCAATCCGCAGCGCTGCGGCACGGGAGAATTTTAGGGCCCGCAGTCGAACCCCGCCAAAAAGAAGGAACCATCAGAAGGGAAAAAAAGAAACATAAAGGGAGACGCAAATAGGTTTGCAAATACGTTTGCATGTACGTCTGCATGTACGCGTCACTCATTTGGTTCAGCGCCACTTTCGAGCGAAGTTCGAAAACGCAGTTCGATGTCGTAGGTGTCATTGTCACTCGAAGGGGCGGGAAAGGTTATAATCCCATGTTGGTTCGCTCTACATCATTATTATATGTTGCTACGCATTGCATCATTTTGGTAACTCTGCTTCGCCTGGCTTTTTTTTTTTCCCCTCGAACTGCTGCTTAGAACAGCATGACCCCGCACGGCATGCACTTGGCCCTTTTTCCTTTGGAGGTGGTTCCGCCGTAGGAGAAAAAAAATAAAATTTCTTTATTCCCCGCGCGCAGCGGACGCGGGCAAAAAAGCACTATCTCACCTCTACGCGGATAGCGTATTTATGTACCTACTCATGTTACTTACCCCACATTAATGTATGCATGTAAAATAATCTCTACTGTATGAAGTCCGCAGGAAAAGCGAACAAATTTTTTTTGCCGCGTCGCGCGTCACGGTTTCCTGTGGTCCCTTTTTTTCCCCAGCACGATCGATCAAAGCGGCGGAAATGGCGGAGTGATATGGAAGCAAAAAAAAAAAAAAAGGAAAAAGAAAAAAAAAAAAAGCAGTTTGCCCCACATGTATCCCTTCCTCGCTGTGAAAAAGCACGACACCGTGCATACATGCGCGCGGCACTCGTCTTACCGCAAAAGAATACAAAAATGAAAGAAGCGTGAATATATATTGTAAGACTATAAAAATAACACAGGTAGTATTATATATATAATATATACATGTGCAGTATTATATGAACATCTTTGTTTCTGTGCGTGATATATAGGCAGTGTTATTTTTTCTAATCGCACCGCGCGTATGCTACTTAACCCCCGAACGTGTCAGGCGAATCTAGCTCGAAGAAAAAAAAAAAAAGATCCTATTGATTGTCGTCGTCCTCCGTCCTTTGCCTTTCCCTACTTCACCGCATCAACCTCCTGTATCGCCCCCTTCATTGCCATTTGTCATTCGCACTTCTGGAGTTTTGCTACTTTTCTCCCTTTGACCACTTGTCAATTTGGTATTTTTAACAGCTCCTTTTTTTTATTGCCGTTTTTTTAATTTACAATTTTTTTTGCCATTTTTTCTGCCAATTTTTTGCCAAATTTTTTGCCATTTTTTTTATTAGTATTCCATTTTCATCACCATTTCGACAGTTTTTTTTTTATTACCATTTTTTTACCCCATTCTCGCGATTTATTTTATTTTTATTATTTTATTTTTTTTTACCTTTTTAAGCATCACGAAAGGAAGAAAAGAAGCGCATGTAAACATACGCACATGTATATATACAAAATATATATCTATGTACGTACGTATATAATGCTAACTTTTTTACATGCCTGTTCGCGTCCCCCTTTTATTATATTATACGTTTAGAAAAACATGTGACCAATCTCTGCGCAGGTACATATGTACATCTTCCCTCTGCATACGTAATATAGCATGCATACGTACATATGCGTATCGCTTTCATCTAATTAATCCGAAATAAATCTTTTCCCTTCTGCATTTTTTTTTTTAAGTTTTTTTAATTAGCCTTCTTTTAACAGAGGTAAATTTTTACGCCTACGTTTACGTATATACCTCTACTTGCGTGTATAGATATATATATGTACGTATGTATATATACATCTACATATATATATATCTACTTTATGGGCATAGGTGATGTCCCCACCGCGTCGCGACGCTAAACTTTGTGAAGCATTGTTTTACCGTTGCGCGGAAACTTCTGTTCGCTTTGCCCCTCCTCTCCCCCGCTTTAATTTTTTTATAACGAGCGACTAGCTCGAGACCGCGTGACGGCCCCGCGCAGATACATAAGGCACTTGTGTACAGTGTCCGCTGCGTCTGATTTTCGCTCGCACGGTCGCATGCGCATCCCCCGCCCCCATACCTCTGTGCATATCGTACCAAGCGTATGAAATGCACCGCTGCCGACACCGCGTCACCCCTTCATGACGATCATTAGGAGATAGTTTAGATCCTCCTCCCCCACCACCACCCCACATGCACATCTCTTTAATGCCACCAAACACGATAAGATGATTTTGCATCGCATTTCTCTACCCGTTTTTTACTATCTGTTTATTTTTGCATACCTACATTTTGAGACCGCACAGTCTAAGTTAAACATTGTTACGAATGATGACAACCGATTTGTGAGCGGCTTCTTCGGGAGCGCCAACGGGCCTGTCAACGACTCCGCTGATGGCGGAGACGATGAAGGACCAAAGGACAAGAATGATGAGAAGAAGCCAAAAAACGTCGCGCATGACGGATCGGAGGATTCCAAAAATGAGACCACCCCTCCGAATGATGACAACAACGAAGGAGCGATAAACTCGCAGAAGGTTAGCCCAGTGGACGCAGCCTCCTATTCTCCCACCGCGAGCAACACCGCGAACTACACACCAAGTGACGGTATAGAAGTAAGATTCGTGCCAAGTGGGAGTGACAGTTTAAGCAGCGAGAGCGCCCCCATCCAAGCTGCCCCCGTCGCAGGAAACGAGTCACACAACAGCAGTAGCGGTCCTAATGATGATGACGATGGCGACGATGATGACGATGACGAAGACGATAGCGATGATAACGATAGTGATGAGGCGAAGAAGAGGGGAGCAACCCACCAAAGCATTCCGACCACCCCACCTATGACGATCAATCTTCCCATCCTAACATTCATGAATAAGCACCCCATGCAAGCGAAAATGAACAAAAACAGAGAATTTGGTAATCTATACAGTCTGCACGATAAAACCACCCCACAGATAAACCACGTGAACTATTTCAAGAAGGAGCTACAAAACGAATTTGCCTTCAAAAATGGACTCTATTTTAGCGCCACCAGTGTGAAGGAGTATAATCAGAGAGTCGACCCGAGTAAGCATGCGTACATAAAGCTACCAGAAGACACCATGGTATTGGTAATCACAGGAAATAAATTCTTCTTTCAAGATTTAGTATACTCAAAAAACAAATACAATGCCATAAAGAAGAAGTTTTCATTTCTTATGAACAGCATGATTAGCAGTTTGAAGAAAAAGTACTTTTTTAAAAACTACGACTATCAGTATTTGTACAAGGATGACACGTTTGCGTATGATCAGACAAAGAGATTACTCGATATGGAACTACTCGGAGAAATCTCCCATGCCACGCAAACCATCTCTGTTGATGAGGAGAAAAATAAGAAAGTCACCATGCACAAAGTTTATGGAGGATGGTTTGACTTCCTTGGAATTTTGGTCGTCAATGGATACACGATGAAGCCAGAGGAAAGCGACAACATGACACAGAATAAGGCAGCATTAGATGTCGTTCCAAAACACATGCTACAAGAATTTAAAGATCTCGTGATTAAGAAGAATGATGGGTATGATAATGGCTATGCCGTCGGATTGTGGAGAGACTTCCCGAACGACAAGTTCGTCCCGTGGAGATACTCCGTGGAATTGTTCCTGTGGGATTTGCTGAATGTGTTGCCCCACGAGCTGCCCCACCCCGCCAATTTGATAATGACCTACCAGGGAGACGCCCTCACCAAGGGGGAAGAAAAACAGGTACAAAAAGAGGCAGGAAAAGAGGCGGAAAAGCCGGACAACCAGCTGCTCAGCGGACAAGCGGAGCTGAAGGAGAGCCAACAGGTGGACGACTCGGCCAATCGGGGAGAGAAACGATCCAGGGAAGAAATTCTCAACTGGCACCAGGTGATACAGAACAAAATCGCCTCCTACCCTGGGTTTGAAGTGAAAATTGTAGCAGCTAATGACTACCTGAAGGCTATCGGATACAGCAATGAAATCTTTGCTAGATACTACAACGCTAAAAATGGAAACGCATACATCTTTCTCATACTGATCAATAAAGACTTCTTCGTCGATGAATTTGTTCAGAAAGGATCCACTCATGAGGAGTATCTTCAGGCAAAACAGAACTACTTCAGTCAAAAGATGAACGAGATTCTGGAAGGATTGGAGAGACTTCTGGAAGAATTAAGGGAAGAGTTATTCCCAAATGAGGAAAGAACCAAGCCAGTTATTACATTTTATAACTATCTAGCTGATGAGCAGAATTACGACAAACTGAACCCACACATCTTGGGAGAGATTGCTGGAATTACGAAGCACCTAAAGTGTGATGAGATGCGAAACAATGATGATGATAGATGCACCAAGGACATTTCCTTACATCACAAGTATGGTGGATGGTTCGAATTTGCAGGTGCCATTAATGTCAAGAATGTGAATTTCGTCCCCACGAAGTATGAGAATCATGGTGAATTTTTAAAGAAGAAATACGAAGATGCTATTCTCACCCAAGCCAACTGTAACTGTCAAGATGCCTGGTTGTGGAAAGACCTTCCTGAACAGAACATGGCCCCCTATCGATATCCACTCCAAGTTTTCGCCTTAGAGAACCCACAGTTTAATATCCTCAATTTGAAAGAAATGCACCCTTTTGTTGTCATGGATATTCTTAACAAGGGGCTGCAAGCTTTGAAGGTGCAATCGAAAAAGCAGAACATAGCGTTGGAGGAGGAGGAAAGAGAGTTCGTCACGACCATCCATGAGGGAAGTAGCAGATCAGATGACTCCACCCACTGTGACAGTGGCAACAACTCCCTTTCGGCTAGCCAGACCAAGTTTAACTACCTCGCCAGAGAGTGCATGAAGAAGAATGAAGTGGAAGCTTCCCAAATGGCAAATACCGTCTACAACAATCCCGAAGATGATGACGAAGCGGGAGAGATTGATCAAAACGAGTACATTACTGAAAACGCGGAATCAGATGGAACCAGTGAAGCCGAGGAGACAGAATACACAGAGGACAAATACATCGAAGAGGAAGAAATCGACCGAGCCGAATACGTCGAAGTGAATGAAGGGTTCTCTTCCAAACCAGACACGCAGCCAATTCCCCAGGTTGAGTACGAATATGACGCAAGAACCAACCAAGAACATCTAAGCAGCAATGACGCATTTAGCACCACAGGAAGCGACGGGGCAGAGGGTAACACTCACGAGAGCATCCTCTTCAGAGACATCACAAAAAATTTTGGAGACAACGAAGTGCTCGGAGGAAGTAAAAGGGATGGAAGCGACGTGTTGAAAGCAGGCGACTTCGGTATCAGCAGAGGTCTGCGAGCCGTCACCGACCTTGTGAACAAGCACCTTGCAAGTGGAAAAGGAAGAGACGGAAGCGGAAACGGTGATGACGACAATGACGACGATGATAATGACGACGAAGACAATGACGACTACGACATCTACAATGATATTAGCAGCGAGGGAGGTAACGATGACGGCGACGATGATGATGATGAAGACAATGATAAAGTCAACCTTTATGCGACGAATGACTACCTGCAGAAGCATGTGTTCGGTACACAGGCCCCTTCCTCTCCAGACTTCATGTCAAAGGCATATATATTCATCATAGTGTGCTTGATCTGCATTTGCATTGCGCTGGTTGTGAGCACTGCTATGAGATTGTACGACACACTGCTGAAGAGAAAAGTCGTGGATATGAACAGAACTGTCCTATCCTTCAACACCCACCAAGACATCCCCGTGGTGCACGGCATCCCCGCCCCCTGGATGAACGCCTGAGCGGCGCAACGGAGCAGGTTAGCAAGGCAGTAGCTTAGCAGCGCAGCAGCGGGGACGCAACCCGGAGGGAGGCACTGGACGGTGGAAAGTGGCCCGCCAGAACAGTTGGCGATGGAATAGCGGCGTGAACAGTTGGAGATGAACTGGCCCGCTTGAAACACTTGGCGATGGAATATACCTCCTTCAAACACCCAGCGACGAAGTTGCGATCCCCTTGCGAATGGCCCCTCGCACTCGCCACGCGCAGATCAACTAAACAGGAAAAACCCCAATGCGCACGCGCAGACCAACCCTTTCCCCACCACATGCTGATATGCTGATACATTCATATGCAACTACAGCCAGATGTGTGCAAAAAGGGAGCACCGCTGTGCTGTGCGAAACTTCCAAAAAAAAAAAAAAAAAAAAAAAAAAAAGAAAAGAAAAACTTCAATCGTTGCGTTGGTTTTGCCACAGGCCAAAGCGTGTTTTTAATTAGCGCGCCATCGCCACAGTGACTTTTTACCAATTGAAGGATATAACAGTGAAGAGATAATATAAAAACATGTGTGTATGCGTGCTTCTTTCTTCATTCACGCAATTTGATCCTTGGATGAGTAATAGATAACCGACCCATTCGTGGACGACGTGAACGACATGAACGTGAGGGGGGCGTAATGTACGGAATTCCATTCAGCACAGCTTTTAGCACAACTTTTTTAGCACAGCTTTTTTTTTTTTTTTTATTCATTTTTCTTTTTTCCTGCCCCCATCCCCCGCATTTTTTCCCCACACCTGTGTAATATCAATTCATTATCCGTTTATTAATCCAAATGTACCATTTTTGAGTTATTATTTATTTAATATTTTTATTTTTTTTTCTTTTTAAATTAAATCAATAAGAACTTCACCCCCAACAACAAAAAAAAAAAAAAAAAAAAAAAAAAAAAAAAAAAAAAAAAAAAAAAAAAAACAAAAAAACAAAGACAAAAAGAGGAACAAGAACTTGAACCTGAACAACTCATCATACTCATTTTTTTTGGACACGTAATTCGCATCATGGGAAAGGGAAGAGTGTTCTTTCCGTGGACTATATACCTATGTGGATTAGTCTATTCGTACGCATATTGCTTTGCCCTTCGGAGGGAGGCACGACAGACGTGGTCGCAGTGCTCGATGATATGATCTCCATTTGATGTACCGTGTGCCACAGAATGGTGTACGTCAGGGGAGGTCCTGACCTTCGCACAGGGCATATAATTGTATATATATATATATGGCAGTGTCCCATCACGTAGCCCGCAGGATACTCATCCCTTCATTTCGTTGTCCTCCATTTCCGCCCTCCCCTTTGATAACAACTTTAACGCATACGTGTTGCGTGGGATGTTGTACGGAGTGAGTGCCCAGTTCTTAACACACACACAAACGCGCAAGAAGTGTATATACTGAGGGGCAAAAAAAAAAAAAAAAAGCTAGAAGCCCCTCCTGCCCACCGACTGATTCCTCAATAGTGGCGGTTAGGAATGCATCCAATTGGGGGGAGGGGGGATACACGGCAGAGAGAACCTCTCTCCCTGCCTCTGCCCTACATATATTTGCTCTCCCAGTCGGCCACGGACACGTAAGACACGGCATAGTTATGGCTGTTCAGGAACCACTCCCGAATCGCTTCATACGGCTTCAAGCATGTTCGCACGTCTTCATTTTGGTAGACCACTTCCCCTGTTCGGTGCTCCCTAGTGGGGTCGTCCCGTTGTTTCCCCATCTGGCAAATCCGCTGTTCCTCCATTTGGCTGATAGGCTGCTCCTCCATTTGGCCGCTCCCGTGCTTCCCCATTTGCTCCCTTCCCACCTCGCCAAAGAACCGCCCTACGGGGACGTTTCTCAAGTACATCTGATCAAAGCTGTCGATTAGAAAGAGGGCACGCTGCCGACTCTCCTCGCCCAGTCCACCTTTGTCTCCCCACCCTGGAATGACAATATCAATCGTGTAGGGATAACTAAAGTAGTTAACAAAATGGGGGATCTTTTTACTCTTAAAAAGGTCTGAAAAGAAAAAAATAAAATGCTGCCCAGTTGGAATTTTCTGATCTCTTCCCGCTTTGACTGCCTCCCCCCCTATCGCAGTTAAATGCTTCTGTACATGTGTACACAGGGTGAACAACTCATCAGGTAACCTCTTCTCTATTTTTTCATAAATCAGTTTGAGAACAGCGGATATCACGTGCATCAGTTCAGAGGAGGCCTTTTTTTCTTCATTCTCCTCCGTTAGGAGGTTCAATCCTGCCCTTATTTTGTGTCCAAAGATAATCATCATTTTTTCCAATAGATCCACATTCTTCTTGTTCTTGTTCAGAACAATATCGACGAAGTAATATGCTAAGACAGAGAATGCACAGTGAATAAGATACTCCTCGGGTAGCTTCATTATAGTCTTTTTTGCAACCTGATGAAGGTAAGTATATATCTCCCTTGTGAGGGACTCCCCCGCGGAGGGGCAATTAATTAGATGCTCCGAGAAAAACTGGAAGAGAGTCACCACGTGACTTTGCTCCACGCATGGAAGACCCCCACCCTGTAGGTAACTCAGAGCGTAGTGCAGCATGTCTAAGTTGGTGATCTTTAAGTTCGTCAGCGCGTTTAGCAGCTGCACGAAGGCGTCCGCGTGGGGAGGGGAAGTGGCATCTTGAGGAAGAGAAGTGGCTTCTTTCGGAAGGGAGGTGACATCCTGCAGAAGGGAAGTGCCGCCGTTATGATGGACCTCCCCATGCACGTTGTGATTGGTCCGCTCCTCCACTGTGTTCTCCATCCCCTGTCTCTTCGTCGTCCCCCTCCTGCTGAGCAGCAGGAACATAACATACTCGGAGAAGAAGACCGACGCGCAGGAGCGGACAAGAATATTCCCCAAGCGGAAGTCTTTCTCCCCCCCAGAGGGGGGCACCCCCCTGTAGTGATTAACCACGTGGAGAAGATTAACGAGGGATTCACTGGGTAGGCGGGAAAACCGAGACAGCACTCTGTCTCCAGTCAGAAACGAAACAAACAACTCATCATTAGGATAATTCAACACAGATAGATATTTTAATATCTGCACCACGTAAATCTCGTCTATGAAATCTTTCTTCTCCTTTACGTAGTTCACTATTTGGTTGCAAACAGTCCATTCCTGAATCTGTGTAGCAGCTAGCGATTTTAGAAAATTAACTAGCAACACCGGATGGACACACTTTTTAATGTTCCCCTTCAAGTAGAGAAATAAGTTTCGCATGGTCTTGTTTCCCTTGTCCAGAAAAGAACAGCAAGCAATGATTGTCTCTAGGATGAATTCGACAGGCCAATAGAAGTGAAGCATTTGAGATGTTCTCCTGATTAAGCGCCTTATGCTCTTTTGATTTTCTTCATCCAGGTGTTTCCTATTTAAGCTGAATAAAATCAGTGCCTTTGCATGGTAGCCATACTTCATGATATTGATATATTTGTCTACCTCGTTTATAAGCCTTTTGACCATTCCCTTTCTTCTTATTTGGAAGAGGGAGTAAAACTCGAGTAGCTCCACTAGGTTGTAGTACTTATATTCGTGTGCGCTTTTGCTTAGCTCTTTGTTGAGTGTCTTCACGAGCGAACTCTTCCTGATACGCTCCCTGAAGGTGTGTAGAGGTGAGGGGGGCGAGGCCTCCGGGCAGCGAGCTACTGGGTCATCAACATGGGGGGGAACTACGTCTCCAAGTTGTGCCTCCGAGCTGCGATGTCCCTCCCAGGGCCGATGTCCTTCCGACTTCTGTTGTTCCTGCCACTTCTGTTGTTCCTCCCACTTCTCCTGTCCCGCCTCGGGAGAGAAGACCAAACTTTTGCACACGTACCGCTTCACCAAGCGGTGCACCTTCAGGTCACACTTTATCCCATGCCTCTGTAAGGCCAAGAGGAATAGAATTTTATTCAAATGTCTGCACAGGGACGCTACCTCATGCTCATCATATGTGTCGAAGGTGCTCTCTATAGTCCCATCGATGTAGTCAAAGAGGCACTCATCGAAATGCAGGTATTTGTCATTTATCCTAAGCACCTCCATGACGTCTCCCTTGCTCAGTATCATTTTGTTTGTAATCTGGCTCAGCAGCGCATTGTATATGCGCTTAAGTTTGGTGAACCCCCATGCGTGGTACCCACTTTGACGCACCGATACGTTGTTAAGGCCAATGTGATGGATAAATTCCAGCACGTGGTAGAGGTTGTCTGCTCGCAGAAGGGGGTCGCCCGGGGGGCTGGCAGCCGCTCGGGAGGAAGTGCCGTCAACCTCTTCGCCCACCTCTTCGCCCACCGCGTAGCCCACCCTCCGCAGGAACTCTTCCTCCACAGGGCGACAGCGCACATTCTTCTTCACCATAAAAACGCAGACGTGCACCAAGTGCTCGTTGTTCACATGTTTAAGTAGCGCTTCGTTCCCCTTCCTTCTGATGATAAGGAATAGCCTCTTCGCGTGTGTGAACGTCAGTGAAGACGCGTTGAGTTGCTCCATCTTTAATTCTGGAAGCTCCTTCACGTGGGGGTCTTCCGTTCGGATGGCCCCATGGGGGAGTTCCATATGACCTGTGTAGGAGCTACTACCCAGATGAGCTGTGTTGGAGGTACTACCGACCCGGGCTGTCGAGGCCCCCCCCTCCAAGCGCGCACTCCGACCCAAGTGCAAAACTTGAATTTTCGCTTTTTTCAGCAGCTTCTCCCTCTTCAACTTGGCTCGACTCCTTCTCTCGTAAAGCGGCACGGTGTGCTCGATTTTCCAGTGCGCGAACTGGCGCCGCGTGACGCTCACGAAAAATGGCGTCGTTCCTTTTGCTGACCGGATCATCATCGTGTTGGGTTATTCGGTCGTTCGGTCTCCTGTGTCAGCTTTGGCTCTCCCTTCCCTTAGTAGAACAAAACGTGAAGCGAATTGTCCGCATTTTGCTGCTTACCCGGTGGAAGGAGTCGCGTCCCACATGACTTACATTCGAAGCCATTAAGGCACACCTAAGTCAGGACCCTGACGTGATCAACAGATTGGGAGCCTTTTGCACAGAAGAGGCTGTCGTGCCTCTCCCATGGCGAGAAAGTCCAACGAGAGAGAGAGAAAAAAAAAAAAACTTCCCAACAGGGCAACGTAGCGATGCTGTATCATCGCTCTGCCGCCACTTTCACATTTTATTAGAACCTCACGTTACTTTTAAAAAAATTAAATTCTTTACACGTTATTTTATCACAAAAAAAAGAGAAAAAAAAAAAAAAAAAACGAAAATGCCTTGTTAACATTAGGAGTGGGAAGTGTGCCACGATGCCTCAGAAGAAGGGGTCGGCAAAATGCTCGGAAACAAAAAAAAAAAACAAAAACCTCACGTGCATAGAACAAACTGATGGTAACGTTGGGCCCAGGCAAGGGGCAAGGCACCAGGCTACCCTTTAAAAAAGGAGAGAACAAAAATGTGCAATGTGCGATGTGAAGGTGTGCCGATGCTGAGATGAGCAACTGCGTAACAGAGCAACTGCAAAACGGCTCAACCGAATGAGACACAAACGGGCGAATTATAGATTATAAATTCAAAAAAAAAAAAAAAAAAAAAAAAAAAGCGCCACACTACTGGAGGGGAGGGATCGTCCCAAACAATGGCCCCGCAATTCAGGAGCTGTCGTCGACGCTCTTTAAGCTGTGATCCTTCGACACCAGGTTGGCCAAGTCCTCCATGCTGTTCTTCCCCTTCTACGAAGATAAGGAGAAAAAGGAAAAAATGAAGCATGAATATGATATGCTGCTCAGTGGGCGGCGTGCCAAAATTGGGCCCACTTGAGTTGCAAATCCGTTGGGGTGGCATTTGAAAAGTGCGGGCTTGCCATTCCGTGTCCACCCCCCTTCTCCTAATTATACCATTTGACCTATGCACCATTTTTGCGGCGCCTTACCTGTCGTTTCTCGTCTTCCTCCTCAACGTATTCGCCGTCCTCCTCGTCATCCGCCTCATCCTCGGCGTACTCCACGGATTCAGACTCGTCCATGCTGGAAAATATGTCCACGCTGTCTCCGTTCTTGATCTGCTCGAAAAGGTCGATGTTCCGCTTGGAGCTCTTCAACTCGTCATTCTGCGGGGGTAGTGGTGAGTGGGGTATGACCGAACGGGTAGGCATGCTGACGTTGCCATGACTACGCGCCATGCTCGCCATAGCCGCCTCGTTTGCTACTTCCGCCACTTCCCCTTCCTGGAGTCTCACATTCTCGTTGGGGATCCCCTTCCGGTCGGTGAAGTAACGCCTGTGGGCGGCGAGGGCCTTGGCGTCGGGCGGCTGGCGCAAGGAGGGATGGGCATTCTGCATGTCCAGCAGAGCAGACTGATTACAAAGAGAGTTCAAAAAAAGGAGGTTCTGATTTTTCATCTTCTGCATATTCAGACGATTGTGCGTAATTTTATTTAAGTAATTCTGTTGATGTAGAATATTTTTAATTAGCATCTGATGATCCGAGTTGGTGACGTCATATCTGTTTTTTAGATTCTCCTGCAGCTTGAGAGCTCGATTTTTTTGCTTCCTCAAATAGTCAATCATATTTTTCAAGATAATTAGATTCCTTTCGTCCTTTTTCAAATCATTCTTTTCTTTGTCTATGAGTGCGTTTAAATTTCTCCTCTTGTTGTCTGTCGCTTTGATTTCTTTTTCCTTTTTTATGTAGTCTTTATTAATGTTCACATTTTCAATGCTGATTTTGTTTATGTCTTCAATGAGTTCCTTGATTTCATTTTTAATGCTTCGGATGTTTTCCTTTTTATGTTTTATATCTTTGTACAGACAGAGGTTTAGAAATTCTAAGTTCCTTCTTTCTTCTTTCAGACATTGATATTTTTTTAATTCATTTTCGTACACATATGCTAGGCAGTTCACTTGTTTTTTTTTTTTTTTGATGTTTTTTTTTTTTTTTTCGATCTCCTCTTCTAGCTTTCGATTGATTTCCTCTATTTTGTAGACGTCTTTGCTTTCGATGTTGTAGTTCTTTAGATCAGAGTAATTGAAGTCGATAAGTTTGGTGAAGTACTTTTCGCTTTTGGAGGTTTTCTTTTTTTTTTCTTCCTCGTTCGTATTGCGGTTCCCTCTGTTTGTTTCGAGGCTCCCTCTCTTCGCTGCGCCTTCCCCTGTCGCGTTTCTCCCCTTTTCGCGACCTCCCGTATCTCCTGCTCGAGACGCTGCCTCCTCCGAGGTGATCTTCGCCAACTCTAGCTTCTTCTGCCCGGAGCCCTTCTCGTGACCTCTTCTTTGTCGATCCTTTTGCTTCTCCTTCGCCTTGGCCGTCCTGTCCCGATCGCCCCTTTCCTTTTTCTTCTTCTTGCTTCTCCTCTTGGCGCCTCCTTCCGCCTCGTCTTCGTCGCCCTCCTTGCTTTTTTCCTTGCCCCTTCTGCTGGACTCCTGGCTCGACTTTTCCTCCGTGCTGAGGTCGTCGTAACTTCGGGCCTCCTTCTTGCCCGCCTTTTTCTTCGCCTTGGAATTCCTTCGTTCTGCTTCCTCCCCGCCATCCATGCCACCCTCACCATCCTCGTCATTCTCCTCTTCATCGTCTTCCTTGTCCAGTCTGCTATAGCTCTCGAAGTCCTTCTTCAAGAGAGCCTTCTTCTCGCTGCGCTCCGAGAAGATGTCCCTCTGTCGCTCCTTTTCCTTCTTCTTTTTCCTCTTCTTCTTCTCCTTCTCGGAGCTATCCACGTCGGATTTCTCCTCTTGCTTAAATTCAAAGAAATCAAATTCCATATCCAGCTTGTCGTTACTTTTGGGGCTACCACCTTTTGATGGGGTACCTTTTCCCGAAGCACCCTTTTCCAGTACTCCGCCATTTTCCCTCTTCTTCTCATTTTCCGTCTTGAGAAGGTCCCCCAAGGAGAGCTTGAAGCTGTCTCGCCTCTCCTTGTCCTCGACCTTGCGGAAGGTCACGTCGTCTGCAGGGGGGAAGAAGTGAAAATGGAAAGAGGTGAAAATGGAAAGAAGTGAAAATGGAAAGAGGTGAAAATGGAAAGAAGTGAAAATGGGAAGAGGTGAAAATGGGAAGAGGTGAAAATGGGAAGAGGTGAAAATGGGAAGAGGTGAAAATGGGAAGAGGTGAAAATGGGAAGAGGTGAAAAGGTGACGACGTGATGGAAGCGATCTAAGGAGGGGCGGCTCACGCCTCACTGCCCTCACTTCACAGGTGGCTACTCACCATCCATCACGAGCTGCCGATCGGCCTTTATCGAGTTCAGCAGATCCGCAGGGATCGACAGAGGGATGTTAATCTCCTTCTCCTTCCTCACTTCGACCATTTTATTCATCACGCAAAATTGCTCAAAATTTAAAAAACCATCATTGTCCATATCGGACACGCTCCATATCTGCATAAGTTCACAGATCGACAGATTGGAAGTATTAAGGTAGTACTCTCGAATGACCCCCCCCTCGATTTTCTCTTCGTTTTTCATGTCCAGGGTCTTAAAGATCCTCCGATAGTCTTCAGTCTCCCTGGCACTTATCTTCCACTCGACGTTGCCCTCCATGTTGGAGATGTCAGAGAAGGACTTATGTCGTATGATGTCGAAACTGGGTAAACACGGAGGCTCTACACGGATGAAAGAAAGAAGAAGAAGAGCGATTTACACGGAGGGAACAAGTGGTGGGTAAGAATTAAAAGGACGTTTTTTTTTCTTTCTTTTTTCTTTTCTTTTTTTTTTTCTTTTCTTTTTTCTTTTTTTTTTTTCTTTTTTTCTTTTTCTTTTTTTTCTCCCCCCCCCTTACGTATATTTATCAGGTCCGAGTTCAGAGCGTTTCCATTCTGTGCATGTGCAACTAGTCGGCAGCAAATGAAGAAATCCTCCAGAGTCAGATATCCCTTATTCTCTAAGTCGCTGTATTCCCATATCTACAGAGGAAGGTGATGGAAGGGGACACATAAAGTAGGAACATATTCCGGTTGGTACTCTTCACAAAGGGAGTTAAAACTTGAAGTGTTAAAAATATAAGGCCATAGCAAAAAGGCATCGCAAAACTGTTACACTTGCACACACATCCCTTGCATCCTTACCGAATGAAGAACCGAAATGGACAGGCCTGAATTCTGCAGGAAGGAGGACGCCGTCTTATTGTCGATAAAGTGGCTGTCGAATTTGTCGTTCAGGCTGCGCAACGGAAAAGGGGCGAGGAAAAAAAAATGAAGGGACGTACAAACATGTAGTGGGTACATGAAACCGCATGGATGATAATGTTGGGAACACCTTTTGGACGGCTCCTTATTTGGGCCTCTCTTTATGCGTCCTTTCTCATTCTTGTTCGCTCTTACTTAAACAGATTCACATAGTAGAGGTACTCCTCCGAGGACAGGGTGATTCTGTCCGTAGACCACGCATTGTCAGATATGTGCAGGGGGTTACTTAATGGTATCTTTCTCATGTCTCCAAATGGGGGGCTGTTCATGGGGCCCCTCTTACTGGTTGCATATCCTTTCATCATCTGATTCGGGTAAAATGTGTGTTGCTACGAGGGGGAAGCAAATGGAAAGAGAGCATACATGTGTGTGCGTTTTTCCTATATGGGGGTGGTAGCGGCAGGACTCCTTCACCGGAGGTGTTCTGTCCAGATTGGCGCGTACCACACGGGTGCTAACGCAATGCCTGGTATGGTTCTTTGCTTTTTTGCTTTCTTCTTTTCTTTTTCTTTTCTTTTTCTTTTCTTTTTCTTTTCTTTTTCTTTTCTTTTTCTTTTCTTTTTCTTTTTTTTTTCTTTTCTTTTTCTTTTCTTATTTTTTATTTTTTTTTTTTTTCCAGTTCGTACTTGTAACGCGGAGTATGTGTTGGAAGATCCCTGGGGCATCTGCAAGAGGAGGGGTAAAAAAAAAAATGCATATAAAAAGGAGAATTACAAACGGATGGATGCTCATGGAAGGAGCGTGACATGGGGCCGCTAAATCCATGGCGTAATGATACACTGCAATACGACATCACAAAGGAATAGCTCGTAGGCATCTGCTTTGCCGCATCCTCCCCTCCTGCTCATAAACACACATGCATATTGACTGGATACTGTCTCGACATGGCTGTTTTGCTTTGCCTTCTTTCTCCATGCACAGGAGCTGTGTGTTCACACAAACATAGAAACGGAAAATGCAGACTACTATTGAGCAAAACGCACACAATGAGTCACGGGGTGACGAAAACCGACTCAGACAGTTTGGCAACCTACAAACGGGTTGTAACATATGAGGGAAAAAATTCCACACTGGACAAATTATTATATCCCTGTGGTTATTTGGAAAAGCGTCTACACAGTGTAATCCAATGCATGCATAGAAAGGAAGAAGAAAACAGAAGGGGGCGGAGTGAAGTAGAAATGTAAGTCGCTCACTGCACGTACGGGCGTGCGATTATTTTCACAGTTTTGTTTTCTTTTCTTTGCCTTTCTCTGCATTTTTTTTTTTTTTCCTTTTGCAGAATTACATTTCGTTACTCGGAGGGAAAGTTGATGAATGAACTCCTCACTTGTTCCGCTGGGGTGGGTTAAATAGACGATTGGATGTCGCAGGTGAGGCAGCCCAAGTAGAATTTTTTCCCTCCCACGTCGGGGGGTAATCAAAAAATAGGAAGGAATAACGCGAAGGGTGATAAAAAAGTGGAAAAAAAAAAAAAAAAAAAAAAGAAGCAAAAACAGGGAAAAAAAAATTCTTCCCGTTGGCGTATTGTACAAATGTGCCAATTAGACAACTCTTCCTTCCTTTCTTTCTTTTTTATTTTATTTTTTTTTTTTTCCAAAATGCAGATATTTATTTTCCCAACTGTGCTAAACTGAGTGGTCAAAATGAAGCAACGGAATCCGCGTGTATGTGTGGGGAGTCGTAAATTTGAAGGGTAAATTTGAATGGTAAATTTTAAGGGTAATTTTGAATGGTAAAATTCAATCTGGTGGGTATAATATCATATGCCACAACGGAAAGGTCGGTCACTTCTCGCCTCTACCACTAGACTGTTTTTCACATGCAGGCACGTGTGTTTATGGCCGTGCGAATTGCTTGCGAGTATTTTCCAGTTACCTCCGCATGCATACAGCTGGGAAGATATGTATGTTCGCACAGCCTCCCAGTTGGTAATTCGCCTCCAGGGGGGACTCCTTCCTTGTCACTTTCGACGTGGTGCCGTTACGCCAGTGATATGGAGAAAAAAAATAAGGAAACAATACGGCAACAATACGAGAAAAATACGACAACAATACGGCAAAAAAGAAAGGGCAAAAAGAGAAAAAAATCTAACAGTGGGGTCAAGCAGTGAAAGCAAACAATAACAACGAAGTTGTGCAGTGGCACATGGAAAAGCGGCGAAGAAGAAATAAATGGAACTTTGCCACGGGCGAAGGGGAGACCGCAACCAAGTTCACCCAGACGTTGGTGGGGTGGAAAGGCTGTGCAAAAAAGGGGATCTTAGAACAGCGGGGTAACGCGACACGCCACAGGTATTAAGAGAAAATACATAAAATGGGGACATAAAAGGGGAAACAAAATGTTGCAGTCGCGCAGCACATGGGCTGAGGTCACTTCGTCACATTCGACGAGGGAACCTCCAATCTGTTTCTTTCCCGGGATGATGTTAGACTCACCCGCAAAGACAAGTTATGATGCATCACAGGAATGGACCTGCGACAGATGGGCAGACAGAGCACGGTGGAACCTGCGTACGGACTCCATGCGCGCAGATGTACATAGCGTCGCGCCAGGGGGAGTTAAAATTAGCCAAGGTGGGTGAATGAAACGCTTGACGAAAAGGTATAAGAAAGCTACCTCTCGTCTGTTATTCTTTGAGCAAGAAAAAAAAGAAAAAAAAATATATGAAGACGCAAAGGAAGGACATTAGTCAAATGCAAGTTATAAGGCTCGCGTAAATACGAATAGGTCATCAAAAGAAATTAAAAGAAAATTTCAATAAATGGATTAACAAAAAATGGGGAACATAAAATGGGAAGAAGTCAAATTGCTCTTTTTTTCAATTTGTTTTTTTTTTTTTCGGGGGTAGATGGATATTCACCTTTTCAGCTCCACTTCGGAGATAGATAAATACGGACATGCAAAATTGCATATGCGCAGAATGAATATAAATATATATCTACATAAACTACAAATAAGCGCGCGAGAAGAAGCCGAAAAGGTTTTTCTGGTTTTCCTTTGGATTAATAGCTCCCCTGTTAGGGGTTACTAAATGGTTAATTAGCACAGTGGATGTTTTTTTTTCCTTTTTTGCTCCTTTTTTTTAGCAGCCCCGGCGTGCTTAATGCGGCATATGAAAAACTATATAAAAAATTTTGTAGCGATTACCTTTTTACCATTCTTCCATTTGGGAAAATAAAAAATCCTGGCGGAGGGTTTCTTCCACGACGCAAAGGAAAAGAAAAAAGCGACAGGGCCCGTTTTCCCCACGAAAAAGAGTTAAAATAAAGTAAGCATATAAACAGGGGAGGGGATTTTTTTTTTTTTTTTTTGCCATTCCGTGGGCGTAATGTTTTTTTTAACCCCCCGGAAGAAAAGGTAATTCCTTCATTCGCAAAGAGGTGGTTGCGAATTTTTGTTGCGCCATTCTGTTTTTCAGTAAATGGAAAAACAGGTCAGACAAAAGGGTTTGCAATGCTATGAAACTAAGAGGAGGAAGAAGAAGCAAAAAGGAAAAAAAAAAAAGACCACTTTCACTTGCCAAAAGGGAGCAATGAAAAAATGGTTCCCCGATCAACTCTGCGATGTTTTGCCGGGCAGCCGAAAAACGTCCTACTTTAACGTGCCGAAATGGGAAGAAAAAAAAAAAAGATTCCCTAATACATGCAAATTGCGAATCTGTCATAACAGTCTCATCTCGTTTGCTCTGTCTGAGCAGAATATTTTTGTGCCCCTGTCTCTCATTGCGGCTTAGCAGTAAAGGAGACAAGTATTGTCTAGCCCTGCCTTCTACGCCAATCGCGCAAGGAGAAGCATATGAACAAATGGGGCATACGCCTTAGGACGATGTCAACCTTTGTTGCAGCCGTGTCTACCAGTTGGCGAAGGGCTTCTCAACCCCCCATTGAGCAATTTCTTCCCATGTTTTTCTTAATTCCGTTTTCATCACATGCAATGGCAAATGCGGGAAGGCAGCAGAGATATGTTTTATGTATGTACACCTATACTCCCTTCCCCCCATTTTTTCACTCGAAAAAAAAAAAAAAAGGTCACTCAGCCAAATGGGTACGCAGATATAGCCATTTGCCCGAGTGGCAAAATATGGCAAAAACATATTTACCAATGTATGCCTAGTCCATGTCAAGCATTGCATATATTGGCTTTGCAAATCCGATACGAACATAAGTCGAACTCTTTTCCTCCACCCAATGGACAGCGGCGGAGGGGTCAAAGATGTGTAAAATAGGGAAATCGTGCCGCTGACCAGCCCGCTCACCTGGTGCTCCCCGGATACGTCGGCGCCGTCTGCACACACGCACCACAACTAAGTTGTGTATGGCCCAAAATTATTTCCGCCAACCCCACCACAAATGAGCGGAAGGGAAGATTGACGTCCATCAATCGTGGTGACTACAGGGAAAGGTTACCCAGTCGCACAATACACTTGCGGGATGGAAAAAAAAAAAATAACCCCTCACACGCATTAACATGCAAAAAAAAGGGGTGGTTACTGCGTGTGAAGAGGGCCCTAACGGAGGTAGTCCCAGGGAAGTACCGATTTTCTTTCCATTTCTCGCCCATTCTCGTTCCATTTTCCTCCGGTCTTATTTCCCAATTGTGCTTCCTCCGCCAAGTCCAATAAAAGCAAAGGAATGATCACACGTGTGAAAACTGTTGAGCATTCCCCCCTTCGCAAATAACTTCCACACCTGCCACTCACAACGAGTGTATGAAAAAAAGAAAAAAAAAAAACACGTGCCGTAGTTAACACCCGTGAAGGATAACTGCTTAAAGGGGACCAAAAAAAAAAAAAAAGATACAGGGAGGAAAAAATAATAAAAGGATAAAGAACAAAGTCCCAGCAAACGGAACGAAAGAGCGCACCAAACAAATCGCAGCTAGGCACACGCGGCGAGGTGTAAAGCGAGCATCGACACGATGAGCCAAGTGTAGCATACCGCGAGGTGCGGAGCATTGTCCTGCAGAGCGGAGAAGAAGGCCTGGGGGAGATGCGAACGGGAAAGGAGTGAACAGAAGGGACACCAGCGGAAGAGGCGCGAACAGAGGGATCAGAAGCGGAAGAGGCGCGAACAGAGGGGTCAGAAGCGGAAGAGGCGCCAACAGAGGGGTCAGAAGCGGAAGAGGCGCGAACAGAGGGGTCAGAAGCGGAAGAGGCGCGAACAGAAGGGACGCAAGCGGAATACGCGCGAACACCGTGGCAGCGTTAGAATCCCCCCGCAAGAGCGCTGTTCGCAGCCCAGATATCTGCTGCGCCCCAGGAAGCGATGAAGGGGGCCTTCAGAACCCTGCTGAGCAAAGTGCTGAGAAGAATAGAAAATGGATTTTCGGCGCCCACGGGAAAGACGCGCTTGGCGCACGCGAGGAGAGGTGCAAGTGAACACGACTGGGCTCGCGGCGTCAGTGGGAGTGCGCGCGCACACCTGCAGTTGGCCTTGTGGCACGAGGAGGACCGTGGACGGAGCGGCCGGGAGGACGGGGCGAGGGACCACCCAGGTGATCGCACCTCCGGGAGGACGGCCCTTCTCGCGGCGGCAACCATCGGTGGATTGCACCTTCTTCTAAACATCGCAGAGGATGGAGAGCAAATGGGGACGAAAAAAAGAAAGAACTTTTTTTCCACCCCACTTATGAGAAACGAAATAGCCAACTGTTGCGGAATCATGGCGTACCTAGGAAATAGAGACGCTTCCAAAATTCTATTTGACGGTATAGAGGTGTTGCAAAATAGGGGTTACGATTCCTGTGGCATGTCCACAATCAGCAACACCAATGGGACGCTAAAGACGACTAAGTATGCCAGCACCTCGACGAGTGATGCTATAGAAAAGTTGAGAGGAAACTACTCGGCTAGTCACAAAAATGACAGAATAGGAATTGCACACACGAGATGGGCAACACATGGGTGTAAAGTGGATGAAAATGCTCACCCACATATGGATTACAACGAACGGATCAGCATCGTCCATAACGGAATTATAGAAAATTACAGAGAGTTGAAAACCTTCCTGTTGGGGAAGAAGATCCCCTTTAAGTCAAACACCGACACGGAGGTAGTAGCCAATTTGATAGGCTATTTTCTAGACCAGAAAGAGACCTTCCAGAATGCAGTGCTGTCTGCAATTAGGCAGTTGGAAGGGACATGGAGCTTCTGCATAATACATAAGGATCATCCAGAGGAAATGATTCTTGCAGCCAACGGGTCTCCATTGCACATTGGATTTAAAGACAACGAGATCTTTGTTGCCTCGGAGCATTCGGCTCTGTTCATGTTTACCAATGAATATATTTCGCTGAAAAACGGAGAGATTTTATCAATCAATAAGGACAAGATAAATGATCTCAAAATGGAGAAAAAAGTAGAAAGCATACCAGAAGTTGTTATACAAAAGACACCCCACCCTTTTCCTCACTGGACACTCAAGGAGATACATGAGCAGTCAATTACTTTGTCTAAGACGTTAAATAATGGAGGCAGGTTTAGCATTCTGAATAACTCCGTAAAATTAGGAGGTCTAGATCCCTATGTGGAGGAACTCTCCAGAATTGAAAATGTCATTTTAATCGGTTGTGGCACATCCTATTATGCTGCTCTTTTTGCAAAATATGTAATGCATTACTTGAATTGCTTCAACACGGTCCAGGTAATGGATCCAATGGATTTTAACGTTTCTGTCGTTCCGAAAGAGAAGGAAGGAGTTATCTTCATTTCGCAGAGTGGAGAAACTCGAGATGTCATTAAGGCTTGCAAATTAGCTGATGATCTGAATTTGAAGAAGTTGTCTGTCGTTAACTCTGTTGGGTCCACCATTGCTAATATGACTGGACGGGGGGTTTACCTAAATGCCGGAAGAGAAGTTGGAGTTGCTTCCACGAAGTGTTTCACTGCAGAAGTGTCTGTCCTCACCTTAATAGCCATCTGGTTTTTCCAAAACAAAAAGGGAACCTACCATTCTTCTCACTCTAAAGTAAGCTCCTTAATCAATTCCATGCACAGACTTCCTCTATACGCTGGTACAACTGTTAAATCGTGTGAAGCTAAGTGCAAGAGTCTAGCTAATAAACTGAGCAATGCCAAATCCATGCTTATTGTTGGGAACGGGTTAAGCTACCCAATCGCCTTGGAGGGGGCACTAAAAATTAAAGAACTCACTTATATTCACTCCGAAGGGTTTACTGGGAGTGCTTTGAAACACGGGCCCTATGCACTCCTGGGTGGTGAAGACAACATGCCTGTCATTATGCTCATCTTTAATGACTCCTCCAAAAATGTAATGATGAATACGGGTGAGCAGATAAAATCCAGGGGGGCGCACATCATTTGCCTGACGGATGACGAAGATCTGTGCAAGCACTTCGCCGATGACATCATCTTGATCCCCAACAACGGGCTGCTCACGCCCCTGCTGGCCGTCATCCCCCTGCAGATGCTCGCCTACTACACGGCCGTGGCGCGCGGCAACAACCCCGATCGACCGCGCTGCCTCGCCAAGACGGTCACCGTGTCGTAGTGCCTAGGGGGCGGTTAGCCATTAGCCGTCAGAGGTGAAGATTGAGCGGTGAGCTGTTCGTGCAGTAGCGCGATCTCACCTAGACATTTTGCTTCACCACCTCACTTTATCATCGTGCTTAACCTTGTTGATTAGCCATCTCACTGAGCCCTCTTGATTCGGCATTCTGATTGGGAATTTTTGTTCACCGCCTCACTCACTTCCCCGTTTCGCCCTCTTCACCGCCCTCCCGGCGGAGGAGCGACCCAAGCAGTCGCAGAGACGAGAGAGCGAGGAGCGCACCCGCGTCCCTGGCGCCGTGCACGTCGTACACGTAACCCCATTTAGAAAACTGATAAATGTACTCCAAGTTGCAGCACCGATACACCTCCTTATAACCCATGTACCCATGCAGAAAAAGGTAACTAAAAACGAAGGAATTCAAAATCTGTGTGCACTTGTAAAAGAGAAAAATGCCTGAACTGTTCATACTTTTTATCAAATTTTTTATTTTCTCCTCCACATGCAAATCCTGCACAGGAGTTTCGAAATGATTTGCTCTTCTTAACTTAACTCCATGAATGTTTTCAAAAATTGAAATGAATTTAGTGTACACATTATTTTCTTCTTCTCTCAAATTTTTTATTTTGTAATTTTCGACATAATTAAGACTTTTCGGCAAGTCAATCGTTTGGGACCCTCCCCCTTTATTTACTCTGTCCAGCATGTTAGTCTGTCCATTTTGGTAAAGAATTAAATCGTTTTGAAAATTTTCAAAGATTTTATTTTCCATGATGGTTCTCTGCTGTTGGAAGTAGCTCCCCTTATCCTCCTCTTTGATTGGTGTGTCTTCTCCTTGGGATACCGCCCCCTCCTGGAAATCGACCAAATTGTTAGCCGTCAGCGTAAGGGGCATCCTCTTCAAATCGATTTTTTCCCTATTCTGCAGCAACTCATACTTTATCAAAAAGCACAGATCTAAGCTTTCGAAGGAAAGTACGTTCTTCCCATTCGTTAACAAAATTAAATCGTCGATGAATATTTCCACCTTGCCTGTGCATGTATTTCTCTTCAGGTGGATGCTTTTTAAATTTGCGAACTTGTTGACAGTCCGCTTGTCGCTGTTCAGGCAGAGGTACCGGGCTGTGTGCACGTCCTTCTTCCGCAAGTTGTGTGAGTAGCCCAATTTTATGAAAGGGCGGAAAGGGGTTCTGCCTCTTTTTCCTCCCCACAGGATTCGCTTCATGTTGTGATAATTACAGGTGAGCTCCCCAGTTCAGCAGTTTCCTGTTTCAAGCTGTGGAAGAAGCGGCCAATCTACGCTTTGGGAAAAAAAAAAGAAATAATAAAAATAAATAACTCGGTTAAGAGAAACTGGGCTGAACGGAGGCGAACGGAAAGCCTCATCTGAACGGTATCACAACTCCGTGATTTTTTCCCCTACTCGTCCCATATTTTTCCCACTACTTTTCCGCTTTCTTTCCTGATGGGCCACTCGAGGCGACGACATAACAAATGATAAATTGAACTGGCGGGGGGGGTTGGCGGTGGCGCCATGACTTGGCCAACTTCGCCCCCCCGCTGCTGTTTGGTTGAAAAGGAAAAAGCACCAACGTTAGGGCGTGTGCATAGTGCATTCGTCACATCGAGAGTACGCGCCACGCGAGCTTGTAGGCGAAGAAGCCGCCCGGGACGCAGAATGCAAAGACGTAAACAGCTTAGCCCGTTTGCAAAATGGCTCGGCTAGAGTGTAAAAGGTGAGAAAATGCGAGAAAACGTGAGAAAAATTGAAAAAATTTGGAAAAATTCCTGAAAAAATGTGAGAGGAAAAAAAAAAAGGCAAAAGTGCAAAAATATTTTTACAGAACAAAATGCGCCACACACCAGTGGGCCACTGGTTCGACGGCGCGCCTGTCGCCGCTTCGCAGCATCTCTGTAGCGACCTCCTCATCGCGGTTTCACCGTTTCACCGATTCATCACTACACCGTTTCGCCGCCTCACCCGCTTCACCGCGTCATCGCTCCCCCTCAGAAGATGCCTGTTTGCTTCAACATCTGGAGGAGGTACATCCCCTTGTTGTCGCCCTGCGCGCGGCACTGCTCGTGGGCGCTCTGGTAGCCCTTCTTGAGCGCGTCGACGAGGATCCTACGGACGTTGTCATTCTTGAGCGACTGCAAAATGAAGCTCTTCAAATTACCGTCATTAAGCTTCTGCACCTTGTTTAGCAAGTATATAATATCTGTGTCCTTCTCCTCCTTTATGGCGTTGGAAATGTCGTCGGAGGTGCCGCTGGAAGTGCCGTTCATTCTCTTTTTTTCCTCGCCGTCTGCACCATCATTCATGTTTGTGGTGTCCTTCGTTTTGAATCCTATGACGCTTTTTTTTTTTTTCCTAAAAAAGTTCTCCCCCATGTTGCCGAAACCAAACAAGTTGTTCAGTTCGGAGAGTAAGTCCCCCCCTTGGTGATCTTCTTCTCCATCATCATCTCCCGCCTCTCTGTCGCTGTCCTCTCCCCCACTACGGTACTGTTCACTTCGGTTATCCCCGAAGAAGTTTTTAAATATCCCTGAAAATATCGAGTTAGGGAAGAGGTCATCCATCCTTCCGAGATTTTCGTACTGATTATATTTACCATCCTTCCCTTCCTCTGCATTGTCCTCATTTTCGTCGTCATCTGGACCCAATCCATTACGTCTAATTATGATCTGTGTGTGTATATTATTGTCATCATTTGAGAATCTCCTCACTATTATGTTTTTCCTCTTCCTGTTTCTACTCTCCTTGTTAACATTTCCATTCTGATTGTATACCCGTGTCTCCGCCACTTTTCGAATTATATCATTTTCACTTTGCAGTGCGTTCACATTGATGCGTTTGGAAGAAAGCTCCCTTCTAAGGTCGTTTAATATCTCGAAGCTAAACTCTGGGTGCGCATTGTACAGGGCACTCAAATGGTTGAATTCGTCTTCTACTGCTTTTTCATTTCTTCGACCTGCGTTGCAGGACTTGAATCGGTGCAGAGAATATTGCTTCTTCTCCATTTCGTGCGTTACGTACTTTTCTAATATTTCGGATGCCCGTTCGTACTCGTGATTATCACGCGCGGGGTACTGCTCATTCGTTGCATCACTTCCCCCGGGGGGGTACTCCCCCCTACCCCCTCTGTAGTCGCTTCGCAACGAGTGAACCATCTTATTTAGCATGTTCTGTTTCTCCTCTGGGGACAATTTCTTAAAAAAGGTAGTCATCTCCTTGTATCTTCGGTCAAACTCGGGATCCTTTCGAATTGGTTCCCTCCTTGGGAGATGTTCCTTTCCATAGAGAACCTTTATGGCATATCTCTTAATCACATCGTTAGTGCTTTTACAATCGTGCATGTCTATGTTGTCCTTTTCTAGATCCTTTGTTATATGTAGGAAGCTTAGCTCCTTATTTTTCAGCTGCTCATATATCTCGGCGCACTTTTTGTCTACTTCCAGTTCGTCAATCCTGTGGTGGTTTTTTATCTCCCCAGGGATGGGAGAATCTCCAACGGAGTTTCCCTCACTGATGGGGTTCGATGAACAGCCAGACGATTCACAATATATGTGAAGCGTCCCCTTCTTTAAATCGAAGAGGAACTTCCGGTTTAGGAGAAAATCCAAGCCCAGCAAAACCACATTGGAATCCAAATACGGGAAGACATTTTCACTTGCATAGACTTCCTTCATTTGAAGGGGCAGCCCTACTTCGCCCTCCTTCGACAGGATAGCAAATCGATTAACCTTTTTTAACTTTCTCACGGTGAACCTCTGGTTTAGTATATTCTCAACAGAGACGCTTTCATCATGTTGATCTTCCGGCTCCAACTTCACCGCATTGTTAATGAGCAGCGTCTTTGAAGTGCCTGAATCTAGGAGACCCTTATACATCTGCTTATTCACATCAACGCTTAAATATTTTATGTGATTGCTATACTTGTGTAGTTCTACTCTGTGACAGTGTCCCTCGGGGATCCTTTCCCACTGCTGAATCCAATTCGAAGCGGCGTCCCCACCTAATTCTATCTTCATACTCTTCGTATCAAATAGGAAGGTGTCGAAGTTGGAAAAGAAATCAAAGCCGATGATCCCATCTAAATTTTTGTCGATCTCTTTATCTTCCATTAAGTAGAACTGAAAATGTTTCTTGTCTCTATTTTCCTTTGCCTTGATCATTTTCTCTACTTGTACTTTTGTATTGTTTAGGTACAGCTCTTCGTGCACATTTTGGATGTCTTCTTGTCCAAACGAGAGACGAGGGGGTCCCCTCTCCGCCTCACCGGCGTATCCACCATTGCTGCGGTTACCTTTAAAGAGGAAGTCGTCCCCTCGCCAAAACAGAAAACTGTTGTCGCTGGAGAGATCCACGATGAACCTCTTCTCTTCATCATTCATCATCAGTTTGGCGCACAGAAATTCGTTGCCACTGGGACTCTTAAACGTCTCCATTTTCATTTTAAAGGTATCCATTTCTATCTCATTTTTTGTACCCCTCGCTTCCTCCCTACTGAGGAACAGCTCCTCCTTCCTCCGTTTCACACCCGCGTTCTTCCTCTCACATCGTAGTCTCCCCTCGAACCCATTCTTGTTGTGAATAAAGAGATGCCTTCTATTCGTACTATGGCTCAACGACCATGGGGTTGCCAAAGAGCCCCCCTTTTCAGACACGTGGATGATATGATCTCCGCTCTTTCTTAACTTGAGTGTGTCGTAAAAATCGAATAGCAGAAGGGACAACAGGACAAAGCCAAATAACACGGGCATCTTTTTCCTGTCAAGGTTTTAATCTTGTTTTTGTGGCCATGTAGGACAAAAAGTTGTTTCTTCTTTTTTTTGCCTCAGGACATGTTTTTCAGGGATTATTCAAAATAGTGTAGAGGGGAGAAGGCTCCGCTCCGGTTTGGATTTTAGCACACCGGGTTGTTCTGCGCTTCTTCCCTCGTATAGTGCTACACTCAACCGGGTGGAAGGGCCCCTGCAAACCTGCCAGAACGCCGTGCCTACATGTGACCCAGAACGAGCACTCGCTCACGCGTGCATTCGCTTGACTACTGTTGCTATGCCTTACGCGAACTCGGCGTTTCGCGGAGGCCTCGTTTCGCTGATCTGCGCCTCTTCGCCGGAGGGACGCACATGAAGGGGAAAAAAGGAACAGAAAAAAGGGAGAAAAAATGAAGAAAAAATAGAAAAAAATAGAGGAAAAATACAGAAAAAATAGAGAAAAAACACAAAAAAGGGGACAACAATGAGCACAACTAAGAACACAAAAAATAGCACATCGAACAGCCCATCGAACAGCACAACGAAGAATAACAAAAGAGAGCCCAAAAAGGAACACAAGAGAAAAAAAAAAGGCGAAAGCGATATCTCCTCGCCTACAATGAGACATATACCTGTCACGCACGACCAACCAGTATTGAGAACAAAAAGCCGGTGCTATAATGTGTTGATGATGCTGTGTTTACGAAGGCTTCACCCGTAAAGTGCCAAAACGGGCTCGGGGTGGCCCACTGGCCGCAAAACAAAGATAGGCTAAAGAAACCAGCACCCCTGCACTGCAACCGTTCCGAAATACACAGCGCGACACGTGTTTCCTTGTGCATCTCGCACGACACGCGAAAGTAACCTGTTCTTCATGACTCTATAATGCTGACTACTGTGATGACCACTAGGTGAGAGCCCCCCTTCCGGGATATCCCCCTTTTGAGAAAGCTCACCTTGTAAAGGCGACGCGCAAAGCGAACAGAAACAAATTTAATTGGTACTACATCACACCAATGAGAAGTTCACACTTCCTGCCCGTAGAAACGAGCCTTTTCATAAAAAAAAAAAAAAAATCTACATCAAAAGGTAATCCCATTTTTTCTAAGGGGATATGTACCCCAAAGCATGAGCTGCACACATTGGCAATCAGCTCCTTCGGAGAAGTACCTACACGAAGTAAAACCGATATCATGTTGCTTCACTTCATGTTTGTTGCCTCACATCCTTTTTGTTGCTTCCCTGGAAGTATCGGTTCTTCCAATGCGCCGGGGCCAGATTGTGGTGTCGACTTCGAGGGGTTATTAATCTCCTTTTCGACCTTCTCATCCTTCTGGTAGACTGAAAAAAAAGGGGGGTAAATCAGGGCGAAATATAATTAGCAACGTGCGAGGCGCTACAAAGAAGTGACTTCATGTGGACACCTGCACATGGAGGGTTTTGCAAGAACGGCTGCGCAAAGTTGCACTGTCGTGCGGCTTCTCCACACACCGCCTCCTCGCACAGCGCTTCTCCTCCCTTACACGTTCCGTCGTCTATGACACGGATGAGGGTTCCCTTCAGCTTGTTCCGTATCAGTATGTCCCGTTCCATCTCATCGATCTCGTTGGCCATCTTCCGCTGCATATTGATGAGGTGCTTCTTGTAGAGCACTCGGTTTTGGTACTCGGCCTTCAGTTCGCCCGTTACTCTGTTCACTTGGCGTATGTTCCTCATCAGGATGTGTCGCTTTATCTTCAAAAATAGGACATACGTGAGTGACACTTTTATTTTTTCGATACTAGCCAAATCGTCAATCAAATTGGATAGCATGTGTTTCAGTTTGGTTCTGTTCTGTTCCTTTTTTTTATCCCTCCTCCGGAGTGCTGTCTTGTCGTAGACCCCTTTTCTGAAGAAATTCAACAGCCTCTTTGGGGGCTGTCGATTGTGGCGCTTTCTATCCACTGGATTCGCGGCACCCACTGCATTCTGCCCCTGTCGCTTATGCAAAAAGCCAAAGTCATACTTCCCATTCAGCAGCTTCGTGAAAAACAAGTGCATGTTCTGTGTTTTCTGGACCATTTCAACTTCGTTGTAGTTTTCTGAACACGGGACCACCGCGTCGACTTCCTCGTCTTCGCGCAGACTTGATTCATCTCTTGAGACATCTCCTCTTTCTTCACCTTGCAATCGCTGCGTGTTCATTTCTTGGGAGTTCGTTTCGAGGTCACCACCCTGGTTGGATGGTACGGTATGACTGGAAAGATGACCCCCACCCTGGTTGAGTGGTGAGGTATGACTGGAAGGACGACCCCCACCCTGGTCACTCCTCACCTCCCTGTGCACCACGGCAGCGCTCCCTACTTGGGCTGCACTCTCCACTTGGGATGCGACTCCGCAATCATACCAACAACTAGGATAAGGCGCCTGGACCAAGTGACACGGGAAGTGACCCCCCTCCTGCGGCACACATCCATTGGGGCCATACCAATTTAGCGCATTTTCCTGTAAAGCCTTCTGATAGCAGTACTGATTATACCACTCTATTTGCTGATTTAATAATTGGCCTACCTCATACCTCTCCTTTAGTATTCTCACCTTTTCGAATGTCTTGTCTATGGTGTAGAGGATGGCCTTGAAGTGGAGCAAAATGTCATGATCGTCAAGGACTAGGTCGTCAAAGGGAAGTGAATTCTCCTGACTTTCCTTGAGCTTAACTGTTACCTTGTTTTCATTTTTTTTTAAAAAAATATACAAATATATCGACGTGATGTAGAAGAGGAAGAAAAAGAAAATGAAACTAATTAGCAGCTCATAGGCGAAGTACTTTTTGCTCGTCTGGACGTGGTAAAACAGCATCGTCCATTTTTGAAGGCCTATGCTTGTGTTAGAGTAGGTGTAAGAGCCTAGGGGGTGACGAAGTGATGGGGTGACGAAGTGATGGGGTGACGAAGTGATGGGGTGACGAAGTGATGGGGTGACGAAGTGATGAAGTGATGATACGTGGATGTAATGCCGTGAGGGAGCGGCGAAAAGGTAATGCCTCGGTGAGGGGGTCGAAACAGACGTGACAGACGCCGCGACTCCACACCGCGCTTTCTCTTACTCAAGAGGGACGTCAACGAGACGAAGATGAACACCGACGCCGTCACGAAGAGGAAGTGAAACTTGTACTTGATAAATGAAAGAAAATAGTTAAAAAAGAAAAAGCAATAAATCTTCAGCACGATTGTGACAAGAATAATGTGACAAAAGAAATTCTCGTAAAATTTGCACCCCTTTATCCGTAACAAATCCTCCAGCAGTGACTTGAATTTCCCCAGCTTGTTCAGATAAAACGTGTCTGCAATGTTCCTGTCCTTTATATGCTCAATGTAGTCATACGAGTGACTCATAGATTTCAGTGTCATAAAATTAAATGAAAAGAAGCAAACACAAATGGCAAAGAAGAAGCCAAAGCACAGCAGGAAGAATCGATTCCGCATATAATACAGCGTGTACATTACTAGTAGCAAATAACCCGCTGTTGCGATTAAGAGGAATATCAAAATGATCAGTTTAGTTCTGTACTGCGCGTTTTTAAATTCGTTCATCTCCTGTATGAAGACGTCTTTGGTTTGTCTGAACAGGCCGTTGCTCTGGACGTTGAAGGACGCCTGCCCGGGGCGAAAGGGAAAAAAAAAAAATTAAATTGAATTAGATTAGATTAAACTGAATTAGATTAGATTAAATTGAATTAGATTAGATTAAATTGAATTAGATTAGATTAAATTGAATTAGATTAAATTAGATTAAATTAAATTAAACTAAATTGAATAAAAAAAAAGAAAAAAAAAGAAAAGCTATCTGGCTTGCTAAAATGCAGACAAAGCTGCCTATCCACATGCACGTTCATATCTTTTTTTTTTTTTTTCTTCATGTCAGTCATTTTCTGGTGTTACATTTAATAGAATGAACAGGCTGTTCTCAAAGTTGTACAGTAGGGAATACGCGTCGTAGTGTTTTATGGCTTCCTTTCTGTTGTCAAACGTGTCTTCGTACTGGCGCAGTGCGTGCGCGTCTGCGTAGGGAAGAATGGGCGAAAAGGCGAGCGCAGTTGCGGTGTGTATATAGCGGTGAGCACATAACGGGGAGCAGATAACGGGGTGTGCGTCCGTTCAGGCTTGGGGGCGCGCTTCTCCTCTGCCTACCCGTGGCGGGCGCGTCTGAAAGCAGGGGATTCTCCACGGCTATTTCTTCCGACACTTTGTGGGGGGGTTGAGAAGCAGATCAACGTGGGGCGGCATGAAGCGACGCGTATTAACATGAAGAAGCGTGTATTGGCACGACGCTCCTTGTATCAACGTGTATTGGCACGATGCGCCTTGTATCGACGTGTGGCTCATTTTTGGTGCCCATCCGCACACACGCTCCGGAAGCGAAGCGCCCTTTACCTGCCTCCCCATCGCTTATCTTCACCAACACGTCATAGGGGAAAATGTGGAAGACGTCTTCGTACACAAAGATGTTCTGTCCCTCGAAGGCCGCTTCCAGTTTAAACAGCTTTTTATTGTCCAGGTTTTTCTTATTTCTCATTATGTTATCTATCACGACGGCGCTGAGGAACTGTAGATACTCGGACGGCTGCGTCAGCGTGTCGAAGGATTTTTCCTGCACGGGGGGGCGGTTAAAGCGTCTAACGCGGTTAACGCAGCTTGCTTGCTCAGACGGGGATGGTAACGGCGCCGCGCCAGACACTTCCTCGTGCACGCGCCCAAATGCATTACCCCTCCCGCCTTCGTAACGAAGGGCGCCTCCAGCTGGTGCGCGTAATGCGCCTCAAGGTGGGTCATCGTATTCTGGTCAAAAAATATTTTCAGCACAAAAAATATAAGAAAAAGAAAAAAAAGAATCACGCTGCCAATCTTGAGGATGTCTATTTTTATTTTCTTCTCTTCGTATTCTTCGTAAGTCATTTCTTTTCTTCGCCCGGATGTTTCCTGTACAGGTGTGTGTGTGTGGTGGTGCTTCCGCTGCTTCTGCTGTTGCTGGGGGCTCAGGCGCTTTCTTAGGCGTCTCTCTATGGCTTGCTTATTACTTCCCCCTATTGGAGTCCCTAACTTTTCTCTCTCAGCACAGCTCCTCTCTTTTTTACTCTCTGATTTTTCTCCTTGAGGAAAAAAAAGTACTCCCTTAGTTTGACCCATAGATGACAACTTCGAGGTTTAAACTCTACAGGGGGGGAGAAGCGGATGGGGAAAAAACATGTGTGCATCTCCTGTGCAGCTGCTGTGCACTTCCTTCCCAATGGAAGTAATCCATTCGATGGAGCTTCCATTCCTCACGCGATCACCGAACTTCCTACCGAAAGGGTCCCTATGATTGTTTATCAGCAAAAAGGTAGTCGCGGTAGACGCAACTGTAATCATGGGCACAAAGAAGAAGCTGTATATTATAACAACAAAAAAGTTGTATACAAATTCGTTCTTGTATTTTGAGTCATCTTGGAAGATGAAGACGGAGCTGAAGTAGCCCTGGAACTTCTCCCCGCCTGGAAGAGGTGCACAGGGGGGATGGCGGATCACTATGATATTGCACAGGGGGGATGGCGGCTCAGCTTCCTATTGCACAGCTTCCCACCCTACGCGCGTTTACACCAGTCGGACGTCCACACATATTCCTACTCATTAGTAGCTAGCCCAAGGAGAAGATGGGGATGCGCACCGCTAGTCAGGAGGACACTCCAGCCTTACTAGAAAAATAATTAATGAGTATCAGCGGGAGGAAGCTCAGGAGAAAGAGAAGCAGCATGTAGTTCTGCTGAACAGTTGTCTGAATTATTTGCACCGGGATGACAAGGACCTTCCAGTGAGTGGACAATTTTTTCAAGACGTTTAAAATGAGGAGAAGGTAGTAGGAGCAGATTAGCAGATCGACGCCTTTTTCGTGCACAGAGAAATTCTCAACCGTTCCTACAGGGGAGGAAAAAAAAAAAAAATAAAATGACGAGAATGATGAGAGTGACGAAGTGGGAACGGGTGGAGACACCACAAGATTAAGTAAACAAGCACATAAGCTACGCGCGTGTAATTCCTTCTCCACTGTTCCGATGAGTACCTATAAATTGCTCGTAGAGGATGCTCAGGTCGATGAGGGCAACTAGGAAGAAGTGCAGGATGTTCATTCTTATTCTGGTAAGTGAGAGAAAAATGGGAGTAAAAAAAGGGGGCGGCGTTTCGCTTGTGTGTATGCATCGGGTGGGGGTCACTTTGCTGATAGCACCAGCGGCGGTGCTTCCGGTGCTTCCGATGCAGCTGATGCGGTAGGTGCCCCTCTCGTGGACGAACTAACCCCCCAGACATGCACCTCCGATAGGCCACCACCACTGCGCTCATGTTAAGGAAGAGGAACAGGACCCACTCATACCAGTGGTAGCAGTGGCGAATGCTTATGCTCGATTGCCATTTGAAGATCGTCGAATTGAATAGCTCGTGGAACGCAACTGAGTACTCTGCACGGGGGGGAAGCGGGGAGGGAAGTAGACACAGAGAAGAAGGAACGAGTAACCAAATGGACGCAGAGAAAAAAGAAATCGTGATGAAATGGAGGCAGAGAAAAAAGAAAGCGTGATGAAATGGAGGCAGAGAAAAAAGGAGTAACCAAGTGGACGCAGACGAGCAGTCTCTGCTGCTTCACACGCCTGCTGCTATGCTATATTCGTTCCCCTACGCACCTACATATGTATTGGCACTCGCGTTATAAAAAGACAAGGCGTAATTCTTGCTCCCCTCCAACTCATATTTCAAAAAACCCACTCGACCATAGTTGAACACTTGTATCATGTCAGAGAGTTCCGTCTGAATGACTACTATGTCAGGAGTACTGACATACTCATTCTTAACGACAGAGGAGAAGGCTTCGTGGAAGCAGGTCGTAAAATCATCATTCCGATGTGAGAAGTGCACAAAGACGATTGAGGCATACAGAACAAAATGGGCAACTAATAGGATGGTATTAATCACAGATGTGTAGTGATGCCCCCCTTTTTCATTCTTTCTCAAAATGGCGTTTCTAATTTGTTCCAGATTGTTAATTTCGTGTTCGTCCATTGGGTTAGCGGAGGTGGAGCGGAGAGTGTGTGCGTGGTGTGAGTCGTCTGTATTGCGTAACTTCGGGTTGACCTCAGGAGGGCTGCACTTCCTGGCGTACACCTTCCCGTCGCCCCTACGTGTAGACCATGCCCCGTGTTCCTCCTCAGTCGAGCTTCCCACTTCACTGCGCACTCGCGGGTGCGCGCCAAAGTGGCGAAGCTTCTGCTCAGGAAGGTCCACGCATAACTGTGCTCATGCTTATCGCATCGCCAATTAATGAACTCCTGAGGCAACTTGTTTCCACTCTGCGCGTAGTTGGAACAATCCTGCGCCACGAGTTAGTCATCATATTAGTTTCATGTGTGTGTCCGGGGGGGCCACGTGTGGGGGTTAAAAAAAAAAAAAAAAAAAAAAAAAAAAAAAAAAAAATTGGAAAATAGAGCAGAACAAACTTCGGAAAAATGAAGTTGCGCCAAAGGAAGCAGCCCAGAAGGGGCGATCCCCAGCTCGGCGTGTGCTACAATAACATGTGCACTTTGAGCTTCTTGTAAATAGTCTTGCTGTATATGCACGGGATGGGCAGGAAGAACAGCGTTTTATCGTCTTCGGGGGGGGGGGAGGAAGTAAAAAAATGTTAATAAAGGGGATATGCCTCTTTTAAGGGGGCATGGCTCCATCGTGGCGCCACACAGGCCTTCATCCCGATGTGCCTATCGCAGTGGGGCGACGCCAATCCATTTAAGACACCGCTCCGAAGAGGTGCCCCCGGTGTGTACACAATTGCGTGTGTGAAGAACGCCGAGTCTTACGTCTTCGCGTCCTGGGATTGAAAGTCAAGACGGGGCAATAAAACACAAAATCGTTCCTGTCGAAGGGGTCGTTATTTTTGAAGGCGCTAAAGGGGCCAGTTAATTCTTCTGTAGTGTTGCCAGATAAACTGGTTCTTTCCATTTCCCCTTCATCATAACTATCGCTAAGATTGCTTCTTTCTCTTTCGAACCCTTCCCCATTCTGTACAGCGTCTGAATTTTTATTAAGACCCCCCTTATCAGCATCCTGGTTGGATACGCGATTAGGATCACTTGTTTCATTTGGTCCAATTGCTCTACTTTGAGCAGTCTCACTCTGCTTGTTTTTTTTTATCTTCACATAAATGTACGGTGAGTCGTAGTAAAATTGATTTTCCTTCTTGTGGATGTATTCCCAATAATCACTGGTGCTATGGATTCGGATGACTTCCCCTTTTTGTCCAGACAGCCCTCCCTTAGTGTTATCGATCCTTCCAGCTTGGTTGTCCATTTGGGGGGTAGGGTCCCCTATTTCCTTCTTGGTGGCGTCGTTGAGAGTGTCTGCTTCCTCAGTGGCACAGTCATCCCGTACGCCAGCCTCGGGGCCAAGCTTGCCATGGCCCTCTCTCCCATCCGCGCGTGCACCTCGCCTATTTTCCTCGTCGCAGATTTTCATGAAAATGCTGTTTCTCTTGTGGATGAATGGGTGCGCGAAGGGCTGGGAGGTAGTCACGAATTCGCCTTTGTACGTTCGTATGGGCAGCAGCCAGATGCCCTCCTCGCTCCTGAAGGGGGGAAGTGGGGAAGCGGGGAAGCGATGAAGCGATGAAGCGGCGGTTTGGATTGCGTTGTGCGCAGCGGTTAGGATAGCGATTTGCACATCGATCTGCACATCGGTCTGCACATCGATCCGCCCATCTTCCTGCTCACATGCCGGCCACCTACCCTCCAATTCCGTCGCAGTATTTGAAAGACACGTTGAGGCTGCTCACGGGGACGTTCATGCTTCGCGCATAGCTGAGGTAGACCGAGTAAAAGAAGAGCAGTGGATTGCTAAACATTGAGACGTCGTACACATGTCTGCCTCCCCGCTGATCTGCGTTTATGACGTCTCTCAAGTAGGTCAGCTTTTTCTTTATCTTCCCAAAGAATTCGCGTAGGTCGTTTTCTCCCATGGAGAGGGCGTCCCACTTATGCGGCACCTGGAAGGGGAAGCGACGTGGCGAAGATTGAAGGGGACGCGGAATGAACCCAGGGGAGGTGGCCAAAACGAAGGGACTCCGCTTTCACCCCCAGATGCTCCTCCCTCATTGCGCTAATTTTTCTTCGGCGCGCCTTACCCTGAAGGTGAGCAAATCCGACTGCATCTCCCCCAAGGGGTCATCCGCCAGGTGGCTCGAGCCCTCCATTTGGGCGAGGTGTCTAACTTGACCTTTCATGCTTCGGATGTGGCTCAGCAGGGAGTTGTATTCCTCCGTGAGGTATTTCACTGTAAGGGGAGGAAGGGGTGCAAAAAGGGAAGACGCAGAGGGATGCAGTGGTGTAGGCGGGGACGAAACTGAGACAGGCTCCGCTTAGGAGGTACCCACCACAGTGGATAGAGGCAAACCATAGTGGAAACCACACACACCATAGTGGAAACCACACACACCATAGTGGAAACACACACCGATGGGGAGCCCCTCAACCCATCCATGAAACACATACACGTCGACGTGGCGTTCACAGCCTGTCTCATCGATACGAAGCGGGAAAACTCCTCCAGGTAAAGAAGAATCAACTGAAAGGTGTTTCTCCTATGGGCCCTGTTAATCAGCTGACACTCAGAAAGGAGCACTCTCTCCGTTAGCGTAATTAATTGTGCCCCTTCGTACAAGTGTATGCTTTTATTTTTCTTAAAAATCTTTTCCGTCAAGTGGAAGTGCCTTCCCATATACTCAATCAAACCATGCAACGTCGTGATGTTTGTCGGTATTTGCAACACATTGCTTATGACAGATGGACTGTTTCTGTTCATTTTGCTGGAGAATAAGTTACACACAAAGGAGTGCATCATATTCTTCGTTAGGATACGCTCCTTTGGAAATAGAAGTTCTACAAATGCTCTCAGGTGGTGAGAAAGGAAGTCCCTACATTTTTCTGCCTTCTTTAATTGCGCTTTGTACTTTGCGCGGTCATTCAGGTTGTCCTGATCTGCGGCTTCTTGGTGGTAACCATCTAGCTGAACCTCCTCTCCGTAGCGGTTGCCCTTCTGGGCCACTTGGCTGAATGCCTCCACCGTTCCCATCATCTCGCTGAGGAGGTCCACGTTGACGTTTAGGTTTTCCACGGGACCCTGTTCATTCAATAGGGAGAAGAACAAGATGGTGAAGAAAAGGCACCTGAAGGTATCGCCCTTGGGGGAGTTCTCCTCTGCAATTAGTTCTTTCATATCAGCTGCGTTACGAACACGCAGGGAGCTAAGGCAGAAGTATAGAAATTGGAGGTACTCCCTAGAGTCCTGAGCGAAGTCGAGGTTAACCACTACACCGCTTCTGATCAGCGTAGGAGAGAGACTATCCATACGGTTATAATACACAAAATAAATTTTGTGAGAGGTGTTCTTTATATACTTCTCCGCTTTGTGTACGTCTTCCTCCTCCACAACGTCCATCATAACCACGTCATTCTGCTTTGACAACACAGAGCTGGAAGCATTTTTTATGTCTATATAGAGAACACTGTTGTTGCTTAGCATCACCGTCGATAAGGCAAAGCTGTGTCGATTTTTTTGTAGAAATACGATTAGCTTCTTCCTTTCTCTGAGGAGAGTGTCGAAATAGTCTCCTCGCTGAACGCACTGTAAGAAGAGTTCACCTCGGTTGGCATCGCGATTGCAGGGACTATCACCACGGTAGGAACTATCACCCTCGCTTGTCATATGCTTCATAGATTCCATTACCGATCTTACCTCTCCCGGGTCCTCTTCCCGACCTGTCTGCGCTCCCCCCATGGTGCCCGCAAAATTGCCACCAATGTGGGAGGCGACCAAATGGCACAAATTTCTGCTGACCAACTCTCTGTGCAGGTAAATCATCCCGCTCAGCTTCACATTGATATATTTGCGAACCGAAAGGATAAGCTCCTCCTTCTTTATGATCTTATCGATTACCATTTTGTAGAATAGCATGGATGGTTTGGTAAACTCCTTCAGTGGAAACGTATCTTCCTTTCTATACCCTTCACCTGTACCGGGGGCTTCGATCAAATTGCAACTCGTCGTCCTGACATACCTGTCCCAGTCCTTTTTGTTGTTCTTAATATGTTTCAATAATTTTTTGAACACGCACCGCTTTCTTCTTCTCAGTTGTAGAAGCTCAGGTAGGTAATCATCGATGGAGGGGTCCTCCTCACCAGCCATGTGATGAACAGATGGGTCCGATTGGTCCGATTGGTCCGATTCGTTCTCATCGCTGCTGTCCCTGTGGTGGTGTGCATGGATGGCCGTTCCGTTGACCGCTCTCTTGGCTGTCTGTCCACTTGTCGCCTTGTCATTTTTGGCATTCTTAACGGGGGCCTCCTTATCACCGTCTTCACGCCGCCACTCCTGCTGCTCCTCTTCTTCACAGAACACCCCCCTGAGCTTCCTCTTCTCCAGATAAAGCACCCGCACCGATTGGTCTACACATCTGACAATTTGACTTTCCCTATTCTCGTTCGTCCCATAGGCCATTTTCTCTCCCCACCGGTTTGTCTTACCTTCCAGTGATTCACTTCTTCCGTCCCCCTGTCCGGTCTCCGTGGTGCAATCCCCCGAGTCATCTTCCCGACCTAACTCGTTATTGACTAAGCCAAAGTGCTCATCGCATATGCTACTCTCGTAGGCGGAGGAACTATCCCACACATCACTCAACCAGGTGTCTTCTTCAGTCTCCAACTTGTGCTGCCCTCCCTGAGAGGTACGCTTTTCGCATGGAATGGGGGACAAACCCTCATTTGAGATGCTCCTACGTGAAGAGGCCACATTTGGAACAGAGTCATCCCCTGGTGAGAGCGACTCGTGGCGATTCTCAACGGGATGGTCTCCTTCTCCGGATGCAGCATCCCTCTTCCGCTTCTTCCCAATGGATCGAAGTACCCGCTTCTCCCACCTCCTGTCATAGCTTCGAAAAAATAAAAACACGTCCTTCCACTTGATCGCTTTGTAGTGGTATACATCCAGATAGATGCTCAGCAGAAACCTTAGCAACAATGTGTGCTTACTATCGACGAAGGATAAAATGTGAAAGTAAAGAAAATTTAGAACACACGCTTCGTTATCTTTGCTCTTCCCTGAGTTGAATAGGTGTCTGGCCCATTTGACCATTTTTAGGAAGTTCTGATGGGGGAACTTGTATCTTTCTCTCATCATCCCGAGGGACTGGGTTAGGAGGTAGGCCACGTAAGTTAGCATGACCAGTCGTTCGGTGGGAGCGGCAGCAGTGGAAGCAGCGGTGGGAGTGGCAGCATCGGTAGCAGTGGTGGGAGTGGCAGCATCGGTAGCAGTGGTGGGAGTGGCAGCAGCGGTAGGAGTGACAGCGGCGGATGATTCACCTTCTTCGCTCCCTTCACTTTTCTCCTCTTTCTCTTGTGAGTCTTCCGACTGGCTCTTCCGCGTCCCCTTTTCGTCGCGCTGCTCGGTCTGCTTCCCATTGCCATGCTTGTCTTTTCCGTCTTCCGCCGCCTCGAGCAGGTCTGCCGCTCGGCGCAGGACCTGGGACAGGGAGTACGTGAAACAAATGGGGGAATTTTTACGGGCCGCGAAAACGCACACGTGATAGGATGCACACATGTAAGCAGATACACACAAGTGATACGATTCACACACCGGGGCGGATGCACGCGTAGAGTTACCTCCTCCTCGCGCAGGGCCCTCAGCACTGCTGGGGACTCCACAGCCGAACGTCGTCTCGCCCCCTTGTCGTAATAGTAAGCAAACAGGTTAAGTAGATTCCTCTTCTTATAATCGCACAGGATGACGTGGTGGTCCACTCCAACCTTCGTGAAGTCAATGTCCTCAACAGAGTCGGCGAAGATGTACACGGTGCCAGACCCATCTGTCCCTTCATTCACAAGAGAGTAAATAGTATCGTCCACTTTTTTGAACAAAATGTTGAAATTTCTGCTCCGGTAGCTCCTGACCTTGTTTGTAATATGCGCGATGTGTTCCTCTTCGTTGGAGCGGCTTCTTTCGCGGCTTCTGTCGGGGCGGATCGTGTTGTCGCTGCTCTTTCCGCTGCCCGTGTTGCCGCTTCCCATGTCGGTTGTGTCTCCTTGGTCGGTTGGAAGCTCTGTCTCCGACGGAGTAACTCCTCCTTGGCAATCCCCTCCAACAGCGTAAATCTCCAAACCGCACTGCCACTTCACGTAGACGTACTTTTCGTCGTCCCTTCGGAATTTCTTCAGAAGGTACTTCTTCATTTGTTGAAAGGGGTCGATGCATATGATTATCTTCTCGTGTAGAACATCCATCAAGTGGCAATTAAACATTACCATGCTGTCCCAGCAGAGATCCAGCTGCGAATATTGCTCTAGAAATGTCGAGGGTAAATACTCTTCCAGGTTGAGTGCGCTCCGCGGGGTCAGGTCACCCCAGGTGGGTCGGCTGCAGTAAGGCTGTTCAGGGGGTTCAGTCTCACCAGTTTGCCTTGTTTCCCCCGTCTGCCCAGTCTGCTCCTCCCCAACCGCGTCGAGAGTCATCCTCCTGTACTTCTCCCTCCCCTTCATCAGCAATTTGATGAATTTCTTTTTCTCCCTCGATTCCATGGCGGAGCAGTAGATAAAGAGGACGCTCTTCAGCGGAAGGACGATATGTGTCCTTCTCTCGATTTCTTCCTTCGTTGCGTGGTCAATTGAGAGGAGATCCTCCTGCGAGGGGGGGGAGTAGTGTTGTGAGGGGGCACCAACGGGGTAACACAAAACGGTAAGAACCAATGAGGCAGCACCAAACGAGTAGCACCCTGTGGAGCCCACTTACCAGCAGACCGCGCACATCCGGGGAAGCCGCGTCTATCAGCGCCTTCCGCAAGTCGTCCCGTAGGGAAGAAACATCCTGACTGAACTGGATCACTCCCTTCCGTTGCACTAGAAGAGAATCCCTCCGCTTCACATAATCATTAATCGAAACGATAAAAGCGTTTATAATTTTAACAAACCTATAATTGAGAAACCTGTCCACATTGGATACATTCTCGTACTTAAGGATGAGACTCTTGGTAACAGAATCGATGACTATATTTTTAATCTGACGAATGAAGAAGCCATAGTGGAAGGAACTCTTAATATGCTCTTCATCGTTCCGTTCACCAAAGTAGAGGTACACGATTTTGAGGAACCCTCCATACCTGTTTCGATTTTCCTGCTTAAAGAGAGTAAAATCTTCTTTGGTAATCCTTTTCAAGTCATTTTTCGCTTTATGTATTTTGTCTTTGTATTCTCTTAGGGAGCCTTCCACGTGGTTCTTCATGACATCCATCTCGTCCTGCTTCTTCCTAATTTTGTCTTCCATTTCATGCATTATTGCATCTGTTTCTTCATTCTGACCGACCAACTGGTCGATGAATTTTTTACATCTATCCCGTTTGTCCAGAAGCGGGTTCAGTTCCTTCGCCCGCAGTGTGGTATACACTTGGTGTGTCTTCTTCACAAAGGTAGCGGCGTCGAATTCGTGGTTGGGATTTCTGCAATGGCGTGGCTTCACTGGGGGGGAGCGATCATCCCACTGGCGGTGGTACACACCCTGATTTGATAGCAGCCCGTTCAAACTTCCACTCATTCTAGTGAGGAAGCGAACTTCCAGAGGAATCTCAACATCAGAGGTTGACGAAGGGACCAAGCCACACTGCGCCTCACTGGGGAAGCGGTACGTAGGTCTGCCCTTCACATAGTTGTAGAGAGGAAGCGACAAATTGAACAGAAAAATGGTACTCTCCTCGAAGTTGAAAAAATCCAAGTGCACAACGTGGAAGGATTTGAAAAAATGTACAAAGCGAGAGGAGTGAGTCTGATGAAGCTCCTGATATCGATTCGTGTAGAAGATAAAATGGTTCCTATTTAGCAGCATCGGCGCGATGTAATTCTGCATGTTTGCTCCTATGAGGACCTCCCTGTGCTTGATTAGGCTCACTATGTCGAGATAGTAGTGATTGGTGAAATCTTCGTAGAGCCTGTCTAGGTCTCCGTTGTGCAGTACATTGTCCATCAGGTCTAGGTACTCCTCGCTGTGAGGGAAGCGGCCCAGGAAGAGGTTTCTCCCGTGGAGGGCTCCGCTTGACCCTTCCAGGTTAGCGCTCCTCATTGATTCAGTCTCCACGTTGGCATTAATCACTTCACCCTCCCGCAGTAGCGACTTCACCGTGCGGTGGTACGCCTCCCGCAGTTGCCCCCTAGCCACATCCACGTCATTCGCCAAAAAGAAGGCATGATCATTTTTGTACGCACAATAAATGGTAACGATCTTTCGTAGTAACTCCTCCTGCTCATTCAAAAAAACGACATTGCTTCTTCTCAAGAGGAGAAAAGAATTTATCATCAAGACCATCCTAACAACGTCATGGTAGAAACGTTCAACATTTTTGTCCTCAAAAAAGCTCCTTACGAAGCTGAGATTTATTTTCCCGTTTTGCTCATCACAAAGATTCGATTTTACCTGAACAGTCAGGTTATTTTCTTCTCGACTTAAGAAAAACTCATTGCTTTGCTGCAGGATGTATTTACTAAAACGTGTGGTGAAGGATTGCTCAATGATTTGTCTGCACTTCTTAACCTGCGAGTGTGAAATGACATCGCTGCAGAAGGTTCGATACACATCCTGTTTGAAGAAAATCAAAATGTCATTAATGCTGTTTGTTATGTCCTTGTCGCAGAGCAGCAGGTGGTTTATTAGATTGTTCATTCGGCTGGTGTGCAGGCACAGAGTGGCTTCTTCCCCCCTTGCCTTTCCCATGACGCCTTCGAAAATCTCCAGGATGCACTTGATGAAGCTGTTGCACTCGGTTATCACCTCTTCGCAGAAGTTCTGTGGTGAGGAGGGTGATGAGCAGTGATGAGCAACGATGAGCGGTCAGAGCGGCGAGACGGGCGTACTGGTGCGATGGGGGCACTTCTGAAGGGGTGTCCTTCCAACTGCACCATTCGAAGCGCACCATTCGAAGTGCACCCCTCCACGCATCGCTCAGCCAACTCACATATTTCAGGAAGAGCGCCTCGATGACGTTCGAGTAGACGCTGTGGATGTCCCGCGTGTCCATCTCGCCGACGTTGAGGACGAAGAAGTTCCGGTGCATTTTCTCGAAATCGTGGCAGTCCTCCTGTGTACGTATCGCCTGTTCGCTGTTAAAGGTGCAGAAGATCCTGCGCCTGGGAAGGGCCACGTCGGTTGCGAGCTCCCGATCGAAGAAGGCCTGCGCATGGGGAGGGGGTGCAGAAGGGCGAGTGAATAAACAGGTGTCTATGTGTCGAGGCGTCTATGTGTCGAGGCGTCTATGTGTCGAGCCGTCTATGTGTCGAGCCGTCTATGTGTCTGTGCGCGTCCGTGTGCTCCGCGAGTCATGCCGCTGTGGACGCCATCCACGCCATGCTGCCCTTACACTACTCCCCGCGAGGGCGTAGAGAAACTCCATGGTGAGGCGGGAACCCCCGCCAAGGCAGTTAACGTCATCGATAAATATCGTCACATCGTACGGCACGGACCCCCTGGAGAGGTCAAACGAGCGCCGCAACTTATTTACGATTCGGCTGTACCGAAACAGTGCGTTGAAACGAAAAGTGAAATTATGCAGGTTGGCCCTCTTCTGGTCAGGCGAATTCAAGTGGTTACAAACGCACTTGGATTTAGCTGAGTTAGATCCCCCCATGAGAACAAGAGGCATACGTAGGTAGGAAGAGATGTTTATCAAATATTTCATACATAGAATGCTGGAATCTTCGAATAAGAAGTAGTCATCATTGATGAACAAAGCGTTGTCCACTAGATCCATCTTATTTATGTGGAGACTCTCCTTTGAAAAGACCTTCTCATGTCTCATGATCTTATTCGTTTCTGCATTGTAGTGGAGATGGACAAAGGAGGTGTTCCTTGGGATGATCGAGAGGTTATTAATGTGCTTAAAAATGAAGCCTTCAAATTGTGTCCTCAGTTTTTTATCCATAAAGGACGTAAGGGAGTAGACAAAGCTGATGGTTATGATATTGTTCAGATGATTGTCTAGGATTTTTTTTTCCGTCCCCTTTTTCTCCTTGAGCGTTGTTATGAAGTAATCTACGAAGTGTACAAAGTGGCTGATCAGCGTGTTTATGTGGACGTTCACTTGGGCCCTTCCATTGTGGAGAAAATGAATGGTGCCGTCTTCTTCCCTCGTCCCATCATCATCCCCTTCATCGCATTCCTCATCCGATTTCTCCTCCTCCTCCAGTTCACCTGCGTCTTCAACAGATCTGAGTCCCTCCTCAATGCTCCCACGACGGGTGCCATCACGATTGCCATGGGAAGTGATGCCCCTATCGTGGTGCTCAACGATGCCGCTATCGCGATGGTCAGCGATGCCCTTATCGTTATGGTCACTCGCCTCCTCGCCAGGGTTGCTCTCAAACGGGGCGTTCTTCTGGTTACTCCTTGGACGGAACTTCAATTTGGCACTCCCCTCGCCCTTCCTGTACTTCCTAAAAAAATTGATCGCCTCGATAAATAGATCTTCAAACACCTTGACGATCTTCTTTTTGGCAGATTTGTAGGTCTTTATTCGCTCCACGGCATGTGTGATGAAGGGGAGGAAGGGGACGGTGTTTCTCACTTGTACGTGGTGGTACTTCCCAATAAGATTAGGAGACATTTCTGTTAATCGCTCTGGAGTGAATACAAAGCAGCGGTGTCTACACTCGTCTTCTTCTTTCTCCATCTGACTCAGCAGATTCTTCTTCATCGTGTGACTGATAATCCTCTCCACGAAGGTACTATCCCGTACGTTAATCACACTGATGTGTACTCTGTTCTTTTTCAGCATAGATTCTCCAGCCCAGTGGTTAGGCTGATTAATATGTTTCCTCTCCTTTGGGTCATTCCTACTATGCATTCCATCATCGGTGGGTGTCGGGCCCGTTTTCTTCTTCGTGTTTCTCGCCAATTTGTTGGTGCACACCTGGGCGTTCTTCATCCCGAGAGGTGCTCCCGTCGCTCCTCCCATTTGAATCGCTTCCTGACCTGCCCGGTTGTTCTCCTCCCGCTGAGAAGAGCCTCCTCCACGGCGACCGAACACAAACCGGAGGCAATCCCCCTCCTCGCAGTAACGTAGGTTGATATTCTCCACCGTGCAGTGATTATAAACCCCCTGTTCTGCCATCTCCAGACGGTTAATCAGAGTGGCCAAAATAAGGACGATTGTGCTCCGTCCAGAAAACTTCTTCCCCATCAGCAAAACGTTTGTGATGATCCTCTGGTCGCACTTCATTTCGTCACTTTGGCGAAGGGAAAATTGATTCACTATTTTATACAGATGCAAAGATTTTTCCACTTGATATTTCAGGAAGGTCATTTTTTTTTCCATCATCAGGTCAGTTACTATGTTGCGTATTTGTTGATCCCAGGATGTTCCTTTGGGACACGTTTTTTGACAAATCTCTTCCGTTGCGTACAGTTGTTGCTGGTCTTCTTCGTCTTTTTTCTCTACCCATTTGAGTAGCCGATCCCTCCACTCCTTGGGGACGTTAAAAAGGACACACATATCTTTTGCTACTTCCTTCCATTTGGAGCTCTGGAGAAAAGAAGACACGTTCTTGATGATTCCCTTCGCCACGGTGTACTCCTCACATGGATTCTTCCCACACCTGGCCATCTTTACCGTGTGGAATAACGTCCTTTCGTCGAGGTGACCCTTCAGGGATTCCTGCGGGGAGATTGTGAGAAAAGGGGGGTTCAATGGAAAGCAGCAAACGGAAAGGAGCAAATGGAATGGGGAAAAATGGTAACTTTAGCGATGCAGGTCGACTAATCAGACTGGTGAGGCCGCTCCATTAGCCCTACCTGCTGCTTCAAATACTGGAAGGCCGCATATGTCGCGGAGGCCAAGGCACGCGCTCGAATTGGCCCGCACGACAGGAAGACAAGGAAGAGGACGGTCAATGAAAAGGGCTTGGCCGGCTCGTGCACCGAAAGGGAAAAATGGAGCGTAGAGACCGCGTCCAGAGAACCCCCTTCTGAGTAGTACTCTCCAAAGGGAAGCGATTCGTTTGATAGCGATATGTACATAAGATTCTTCTTGCTGAGGTTGAATTCACTTCCGTTGATCTTTATCGATTTCATTTTGTTTACCAAATGGTTTCTAATATTGGCTAGCTGCTCATTCAGTACGGCTAGAACCTCCGGTCGGTACGAATCCACTTGGTGAAGAAAAACAGACACATTGGAGCAGAGGCTACACGAGATGTAGTTCAGCAAATCTGACTCCTGCAACCCTTTGTTGTTTATTAAGATATAATGAAATCCTAAAAGAGTGGAAAAATTCTTTGAATGACTCATCCCGTAGATGCTTCTCGATGGCAATAGAATGAACCCGTTTTGAACGTATTTGTAAAAAAAGAACCCATAACTTTTTTGGTGATATATCATATCCATGGTGTAATTTTGATTCCCCAGAAGTTCGTATCTGTACTTCACACTGTGGTGGAAGAAGCGGATGCGGTACGTTTCTTTGTCCAAGTGATGCTTCACCTGCTCCAGGTAGCTGTAAGTGGAGTTCCCTGTGGGGGCGCCATTTCTCTGTTCGTTTAGGAAGGCCTGCAACTGATCTCGCATTTGCGCGAAGAAGGTGAAGATCATCGCCCAGCCTTTGTTTCTCTGCAGTGGTTGGCCGTGGTTTGCCTGTCCCAACTCGCGGCTTCGTCTCTGCTGAGCCTCCTGGTGGAGGGCACTCTCCCCAAGGGGGCTCTCACCAAAGGGGCTATCCCTATGTGTGACCTCCCCAAGGCTGCTTCCCACAAGGGTGCTTCCCACAAGGCTGCCTCCCCCAAGTGTCTCCTCCCCATGTACATCGTCTTCCGGTCCGCTTCTCCCCCCAGCCATGACCCTCACCATCCAACGCAGATTCTCCGTGATGAGGTAGATGACGTACTTGCTCTTCTGCGGATCGTGAATGATGCCCTCCCAGATGTGCGTAAAGTAGACATTGATCAGAATGAACAACTGCTGCAAGTTGTTGATTTGCCAGAAAAAGAGGTAGGAGTCTTCCTTCAGAGGAGCCAAGAACTCCTTCCGAGCAGCATATCCATGGATGCTCCTCATCACTACATTGCTAATTTCCTTGTTAATCTCATTTAGCAAAAACTCAGTCTTCTTGTATTTTATCTCTTCCCTGAATAGAACCCGTTCCTTGTCTGAGCTGATAATCCCACAGATGGATTCATTTTGAAAAATAAATTTCTTTACATAGGGGAATAACTTATGCACGTACCTATTCAGGCATTTCAGCTCGTTCATATTTAAGTAAACGTCTAAAAACTCCTCATCCGTGAGTAGGAAGAAGGTATACCATTCGCTTCTTCGCTGCAGAGTGTGTTTCTCCACCTCCTGCTGAATGGCCCTTAGCTCTGTTTCCGTTTTTTCGAATTCCTCCAATTGGTATGCTTTCTCTAAATGCTTCATTAACTGTGGATAGATGAAAAAATCTTCGCACATCTGCTTGTACTTGGCTACTATGGAGGATAGGTGGTCCGTTTTTAGAGCCTTCTTCAGTTCGCTATTTTTATGTTTAGCTAGCTGAAGATAGCATGGCTGTATTTTTTGAATAACTCCTAAGATGTTGGTGAAGTTTCTAATCTGAGTGGAGAGGTTGTACAATTCTGGATAGACGTGTCTACTGAAGGAGTCGTTTTCCAGGACGAATAACTCCGCGAGGGTTCCCTTCAAATTGTGCATAAGTTCGGCTAGATTGTTCACGAAGTATACCTTTTTGTTCACCAGAGTAACGTCTATTTTGTTTTTCTTTAGACCTGCCTTGAGCCTCTCCAGCTGCTCGTTCATTTTTTTTTCCTTCTCATATTCGAAGCAGATGTTTTCTAGATCCGGAATGCTGTTGGCGATGTGGAGGTGGAGCAGGTGCCTCAGTTCGATTTGCTCTTGGGCGATTGGGATCGCGGCGGGGCGGGGGTGGCTGGCCGAGGAGCGGTTAAGCTGAGCAAGGTTAGAATCATCCCGGTTAAGGTCATCCCGGTTAAGGTCATCCCGGTTAAGGTCATCCCGGTTAAGGTCATCCCGGTTAAGGTCATCCCGGTTAAGGCCATCCCGGTTAAGGCCATCCGGGTTAAGGCCATCCCGGTTAAGCTCATCACGGTTAAGCTCATCACGGTTAAGCTCAGCACAGCCATCCTTTACGCCGACCGCTTCAGCTTCTACTTCCACTCCCGCTTCCCCCCCCCGCATGCTCACCCACGCCACGTCCTCCGGCGCGGCCCCCCCCTTGGCGCCATTTAGCACGGCCACCGCCCGCTCGAAGTATTCGCGGCTGTCGCGCACCAGGCCCAGCAGCCTCAGCACGCGCAGCGCGCTCTCGTACGTCATGTGGAACCTATTGCAGCGCTCGTAAAAATCGCCATTCACGAAGTTTTTGTTGACCCTCTTAAAATACGAATCTATGGCCCCTATTTCAGACGACACAGAGGCTACATCTAGGCGGAAGATCTTCTCCCTTCGATGTTTCTCATTACAACACAGGTACTTGTAGTAGGTGTAGATGGCAAGACTGTTATTGAGGAACATATTTTTTAGCAAGCTAAAATTGACGAAGGCATTTTTTTTCTTTTTTAGCACCTTCTGATAGTGGAGATATTTGTCTACATCCTTTTTGACGTCCAGGATTTTTTTCCTGAGGAATTCGAGGAGCTCAAATATGTAGCATCGGTTTCTGGTCTCTTCATTCAGCACTTGGATTTCGTCGTCGGGGCTGATCTGGAAGGGGGAGTCATCGCCCTCACGTGGGTCACGGTGGTCATGGCCGCCATCCGAATTGGCCCCTTTTCCTGTCCCCCCCCTGGAGTAGTACTCCTCCTGGATGTCCCCTATGGGCGTCACGCAATGCAGCAAGCACTCCATCTCTTCGAGCGATACCACACAGTTGAATTGGACGAGGTTGCCTTTTACGATGTTTAGAATGCTCTGGATGTTATGCTCCACTCGACCGATCTCAAGGGTGAGTTCCCTAAACAGAGTACTAAATTCGATATCGTAATTCTTCTCCTTGTGAAGGATACTCTTCATGGCATTCATTTTCTGATTGATGTGAAAGATCTTCGTCGTGTAGTTGCCACTAATACTTATGTAGTATTTTTTAAAAAGGAGAAAAAGGGACGATATAGATTCTACGTTCTCTTCTATGCTGACTAGTTCGCCGGCGAATTTGTTCGTGAAAGTAATATACTCAACGAGATCGCCAATACTGGAAGGGATGGTATTTATGAGATTAAACGATTTGTCCAGTTTTGTGGTGAGCTCCTCGATAGTCTGGTTACTCAAGGATGGTAGGTAGCTGATGAGGTGATTCCATTTGGTCCTTATGCTACTCAGCAGATTGTCTATCAGGAGTGAATTGTCTACTTTGAATAGATGTATCTGTATCTGTTTATCCATCCGTTTGATTTTATGCTCTAATTCTTTAAATGATGTAAAGAGTTGCGAAATCGATTGCGTGTTCATGATATCCATTTGGTTCACTTCGATCTGATCATTCTTGTTATGCAGTTTGATGACCTCCTCGAATTCGCTGCAAGATTGAACCATCGAGCAGTACATTATTTTCATTTTCTCCTTCAGCTCTTCGTCCAGCTGCTGAATCGTTTCGTCCGCGCTGATAGAGTTGGCGAAGCTGCTGAGAGGGAGTCCCTGAAGCGGCAGCGCTAGAGTCGGTTCTGCCTGAGGCGGCAACACTCGATGGGGAAGCACCCGATGAGGCAGTGTTCCATCCGGCTGTGTCGCGCTTGGCTTCCCTCCACTGCCCCCGCGGAAAATCACACTGTCCACAAAAATCTCGCTGGAAAAAAACTCCCGAACTTTGTAGTAGTTAAAAAACTCCTCACGCATGCAGATATTCTCAATGCCGACATAGAAGCAGTGCATGAGCGTATTGATGAGCAGGTTACACTCGGGTGTAATTCGCAAGTGGTCCTTCTCCACATGCAAAACAACGCTGAAGAGACACACTTCATTTTTCGTTTTATTTCTCGCGCTGTTACTTTTGCTATACATGGTATTTATATTAACTCCTACGTTTGCACTGTCTGACTTAACATTGCTTTCTTTGTTCTCCACTTTGATTAATCTGTATGGGGTTCCATCCTTATCGCGCAGCTTCCCTGGGCTGTTTCTGCCCCGTACGCTTGCCACCGCGGTTTCGTTAGCCCTACAGCTGCCACCAGGTTCTCCATTTTGAGCATAGGGGGAGTAGATCGCTCCACTGGCTTGCCTCATCAGAGCGGCTCCACCATTGGCGAGTCCCTTCATTCCGCTACATGGAGTACACATATCTCCATTGACTCTGCTGTTTTTGTCGACCCCGATCTCCTTCCCCTGTGTTGTATCTTCTCCATTTTTATCCTCCTCGAAGTAGTTGTTTAGAAGACCCAGGAAATACTCGTATGTGTACAGGATGATTCCCCTCAGGGCATTGTCACAGAGGTATTGGCACAACTGTATGAAGCGTTTGATGTAGACGCAGTAGCAGCTGCTCAGTGCAATTTTGTTGTAGTATACGTCGATGGGGACGTCGGTTCCGGCGTTGCCATTGGCATGGACGTTGGCATTGGCGATAGCGTCCGCTTCCTTGTTCGCTCCCTTATCCGCCCCTGTGGTAGTCCTCCCCCTTTGCGCGACTCCACTTCGCACCGCCATGATGGGCCCATCCCCTTCACGGGCGCTGTCCCCCTGCACAATGCCGTTCTTCTCCAGAAACCCCTTGAGAGCCTTCGAGCTGTACTGACAAATGACGGTAGCAATATGGTTGAGCTTCCCCTTAATGAAGCTATCAAACTTTGGGGAATACTCCGCCTGGAAATCCCTAAACTGATCCAAACTCATGTTGTTGATATTCGTATCGACCAGTCTGTACTCGATGATCTCATCCAGAATGGTCTGTATTTCCACGAATCCTCTCAGGAAGTGCTGATTCAGGAACAGCAGATTCTCTTTTATGTATTTTTTCTTCCTCTTAAACTTGGACGATTTAATCACATTTTTGAGGAGAAAAAAATACTTGTATAGGGGGAACTTCCTCACGAAGTTTAAGCTGAGGGCACTGTTGAGGAGAGTTATGTGATCCTTCCATTCGTTTAGTTCGTAGAAGGTTGTTTCGTTTTTCTCGTTGGTCATCACTCCGCTCAGCGATATGGATAGGACTCCTTCTTCCTTTTTGCACCCGCAGGGGGCTTTCTCGTACCCTCCTCCGGGCAGGCTGCAACGGTGGGGAAGCGAGAATAGGCAGTTAGAATGGGAATGACAGAAGAGACATAAGGCAGTTAGAATGGGAATGACAGAAGAGACATAAAGTAGTTAGAATGGGAATGACAGAAGAGACATAAAGCAGTTAGAATGGGAATGACAGAAGAGACATAAAGCAGTTAGAATGGGAATGACAGAAGAGACATAAAGCAGTTAGAATGGGAATGATAGAAGCGATAGGAATGATGGAAGCCACACGGAGTAACAATGGGATGAAGTCTAAAGCGTCAGGGTCGGACAAGACAGCCCAAGGCGCCCAAGGGAGCCATGAAGACACACACCTCCTCGCTCACCTGCGCACGTAAATAAACTCCTTGTTCTTCATGTTGTTTCTTACAAAGTCAATCAGCTCGATGTGGGTAGACCACTTGTCTACAACGCTAAAGCTCGCCTCCACGATATCGAGCTTTTTTTTAAATGCACCCTCTTGCTCACTGATCGGAATTTTCTTCTCCCTTTTCTCGCATTTCGCGCCAAGGGGGGTTAACACCGACCCGTTGGCCACCCCTCCCTGTGGTGGAGCAGATCCCGCCAAAGTGTGTGCAGAAGGCGATGTCGTTGCTAATGATGATGATAAAGATGATGCCTGAATTGATCCCTTCGGAAGCGCCGCCTGTGCCTGTCCTGCGGCGCCAAGTTTCCCACTCTTATGATGCGCTCCCTTCTTCCTGCTGCCTGCAAAGTCCTCCTCCCTCACAGGGACGTGGCCCTTCAAAATATCATCTATCTCGAGCAAAACGTCGATTTTTTTCTTTTTCTTCGCTCCTCCAGCTGTTTCTTCCACTTCGTCATTTGCTACCCCCCATCGGTGGACTGCTCCCCTCTGTCCACTGCCCCCGGAAAGCTCTTCTATGGTTCTTCTCCTTGCAGCAGAGCCTATGGCCCCTTTGCCGTCCCCATTTTGGGACCTATATCCAGCGTTACTAAACTTAATGACGAGATTCTTCTTCAACGATGAGTAGTTCATCGTGACTCCTTCTCGTGGTTGCTAACACGGGTGTGTGTATGCTTAGTGGGAGGAAAAGAGCACAGGAGAGTGGCAAATCTTTGCGGCCTCTCCCGCGACTGCACACAGATGTGTCGCCGTACGGCTGAATGTGCGAAGATTCCAGCAATCTCTGTGATTGTTGTGATCATGCACATCCCCTCCTACAAGTGAGAAGTCAGACGAATTGGCTTCTCCCCTTGTGCCCTTAGTTCGACGAATAAACGGAGGGACTTAACCCCGTAATGGGGATTCTAAGAAGTGATTTTTTTTTTTTCTCTCTCCCCCATTTAGACAGGATAATAGAAGGAAGGCTTTTCGGGGGGTTCCATTTTTTTTTTTTTTTTTTCTTCTCTTTCCTTCTCTTTTCTCCCCTGTGTGTGTAACCCACTACGCTACACTCGATTAGAAAAGTGACGCTTACCGAAAGGTATGCCATGATGAAGGGATAAGCATTTTTACACTCACATGGATGGACGGAACTGAGAGGTGCAAAATCGTGGGAATTCCCCTTTGCAGCGGAACAGCAGAAGGTTTCTTCCGTCCGTTGAATCACACATGGGGGAAGTGCCAAATTGGAAGTGGAAAAATGGTTCGATACGAAAGAGCCGTCTTTATGCGTCAGGGGGAGAAGCCAAGGGAAAAAAGACCTTCTCACAATAATCGCTCCCTTCCTATTATTAACTTTCTATAGAAGGCACACAGCGGGAACATTTCCCCCCGGCTTGTGCATACTTTCCTTCTTTTTTTTTTTTTTTTCTTCCTTCTACACAGAGCAGCTATAAATATGCCTTCAGGAAGGAGAAAAGCGGGGGGGTAATACATACCCGCAACCCCTTTTGGGGGGGACACTGTTGACGCTCTCTTCATTGTAAGGTAAAATTTGGGAGTCGTGTCGTTCCGGTGACAACAGAGTCCGGGAGACTCCCCCTTCACGAAGCTATTTTATGTTATCCACATTTACGTACACCGCAACAGCACAGTTAAGAAAGATTTTTTTTAAATGACCAAATGGGCAACTCTCCATCAGTGCCACTTCCAAAAAGGTATCTTTGCACCGCTTGGAAAATGGGCAAACGTCTTTCTGTAGCCCAGGGGGCGCAGATGGAGCGGGTGTTCATCGTTGTGCACAAAAGGTATCTCCTGCGGATGATCCGCATTACTAAAAACATCGCTATGCTATACAAAGGAAAAAAAAAAAAAAAACGAACAGGGAAAAGGAAAAACGAAAAAACAATACCACCTGTCATCCAAAGCTCACAAAAAAATAGCAAAGCAAAGTGAACAATCCTCTTTGTTACACCTGCTCCCTCTTTGAAGAACTGCCACACCTCTGTTAACACAGAAAAGCGCTTCGAAAGAGGAGCTAGCGTGATGGGCTTCCTCCCTAAGGGGGTATAACCAAAGCTTACATATACGGTCAAACCGCGAGAGCACAGCCGGGTCGATAAGGACGTCCGCTCCATCTCATAATTCACTCGTGCACATTTTAGTGGTACCGCATTGTTGTTCCCTCGGCGCTGCTAGGCACACCCGTACCCACGTGTTAACGGTGCGATATCCACACGACATCTGCTTGCCACAACATCTGCATGCCACGACAGCGCTGTACACGCACCCCACCGCAACAAGAAAATGGGCTTCTTCAACTGGACGTGCAAAAACACCAGTGAAGGGGCAAAGGGACCCGTGGCGAAGAAGAAAATTTGCTGCGTCTGCCTGGAAACCAAGAAGCTGCGAGACGAGTGCATCGTCAAACTCGGAGAGGAGCAGTGCAGGAAGTACATTGAGGACCACAATCAGTGTTTGCGGGATGAGGGCTTCGACGTGAAGTGAGGCGCTGTCAGTGCCGCTACGCTTCAGCAATAGGGGGAAAGGAAAGGCGCCAGTGAACGCGCCAGTGAACGCGCCAGTGAACGCGCCAGGAAAGGCGTTCGAGCTGTACATCCAAGACCCCTTGCAAAATTGATGAATAACGCCCTCACACAAGTTATCCACCTTTGAAAATCACCAATCGCTGGGACCGCTCAGAAGAGTAACAGACAGAACGGTTCGTGTAAATAATGCTGTACGGGTTCTGTCACCTCCCTCTCCCCCTCTACACCAACCCAACCATTTGGAGTCACGTTGCCACCGCGTCTAAACCTGCGACACACAGAGTGATACGCTGGGGGACACTACTGGAAGAGCCTGCTCATCCCGCTTTGGACTTCCCCCAAGGGAACGTTGCTTTCCGGCCGCGCGAAGTTGCACACAATTTTTTTTTTTTATGAACGTGCAAGAAAAAATTATGAACAGTTCATAAAAAAAAAAAAAAAAATACCATTTGCCAAGTGCCGTACAATACATTCTACGCACCCCCCACCTCTGACTTTTTGCGCAAATTGGCCCACACGTAAACGCAAAAAGTGCGTCTCCACCCACGCAGGTTTTGCTCCTCCATCCCTACAAGAACAACGTCGGACGAAGTCGCTTTTGTGTCCGAACACAGGATAGTAACGCCCACCGAGCCTCTAGTCGAACGAAAATGCTCGTGCGCAGATGCCCAATTGGAAGGTGCCTTCGGATCTTCCCCCCCACATTGAGAATACATCCAAACGCAGTCAGGCAGTATGTGGCCCCCCGAAGGGAAGCAAGCACCATGACGTATACTCCCTGCAAGCGCAGCACAATCAGTAGCAAAATGAGCAGCATAATCAGCGGTACAACCCCCGCGCAACAACGAATAAGCAGCATGACCTGCACACAAATCGACGTAATGAAACAGATGAAGCGATTTTACAACCCAAGGGAAAATATCAACTGGACTCTGATTCGATTCCGACACAGAGTGTCACAATTACGAAAAAAAAAATTAAAATATAAAAACCACTCCAAGGTTGCGTTACGATTTCGCTTAACCAGATTTGGATGGGAAAGGCTACAGTCAGGTCGAAATGCGAGTAAAAGAAATTTGTCCGTTAAAAAGTACAATGAAAAAATGAAAATAAAATACGTCTCACGGGATGACATCAAGAAATTCAAGTTCCAAATGCCTAGCTATGTCCTGCGGATACGCGACTCTCCGGTTGATTACAACCCCAACATTATGCGTGCCCGCAAGTTCTTGCCTTCGCACTTTGGCTAGCCCGGGGCACACCTAGGGGCGTGTGCTTTTGTCTTCCACGCGTGCGCCCACCGACATGATTACTCTACATGTGGACGCTTTAAAACGACGTTGTCGCCACGGTGGCGAGTTTTTCGTGGGCAGTCATCACGTGCATGGAAAAAACAAAATAAAGATAAAAATAAAAATAATAAAAGAAAATAAAAATAAAAAATAAACAAATAAGTAAACACCAAAGGGACCCTCTCCCCAACGGGGACCCCCTTGCTGAATTTCTCAGAGGACCATCTTGTATTATTTCGTGTGACCTATTCGTTACTCGCTTTTTCCGGCCTTATCCGTTGCGTAGTCTCCTTGGTCTATCTCTAGCCTGTAGCGGGGGATTAACACGGGGAAACGGAGAAAGAGGGTTTGATGTCACGCTGTTCGCGATCGTCCGTGCAGATCACTCCGTATAAATCCATGAAAACTGCATTTTGCGCAACGCACATGGGCATACAACTACGTGTGGACCAATGGGAGAAGATTTCTATGGGTCTAACCAGCCATGATTATTCATCGTGTGGTTGACTCACAAAAGGTACACCCGCAGCGCGGATACCCTGCACATATATCCCCCCGTCCGTTGCTCCCATTTTGGCGTACCTCTTCGCGGCGACTTTTTCAAGCCACCACGGCCACATGGTTAGGTTGGGATCTCTAATCTCCGGGATGTTGTACTGACTTAGGGAATGGAAGAGGGATAAACAGATCGTGTGAGGGAAGTTCGCACGGAAAATCACGCAAATGCTAATACTTGTGCAGAACGAGTTGCCATGTTTTTCATATAAACCAAAAAAACACCTGCACTGTTCAGGTGAGTTGTGTCAAAATTTGCACATTTTTTCTTTTTTTTTAATTTTATCTTTATTCTTTTTTTTTTGTACTATCTAGCTAGCTGATCCAGAACAACGATAATGCCGACGGTCCCAAAAATGCGCTTTGCAAACCAGTTTTTCTTGAATATTAAATTGTATTTTCCCATTTTCTGATGTTCCTTTGTGTTGTAAAGATCTGAAGAGATGACGATATTTTTTAATTTGATTCTTCGGATTGGAACTTGGCGATACTAGGTGGAGGGGCGAACGGAGAAGCCTCGTTCCCGTGTGCTCAATGCGGCGAATTCTCCGTGCACGGATGCGCACGTACATGCATTTGTATGGCAGTATATTATGTACAGTGGGAGGAAGCAAAAACTGTTTTTTGTTTTCATTTTTTAATCCAAATGATGGAAAGAGTCCCTCCTTTACATTGATCACGCGCGGAGGAATTCACTCCAGGGGTGACCTTTTCAATGCCAGTTTTTTTTCTTTTTGCGATTGGAGAACTGGTTTGATACAAGCATCACACGCTTAGCGCTTTTTTTTTTCGCCACACATGTACGCACAGCACAATGCACAGATGGCACCGCTGAAGCGGAAGAGCTTTGCTTACTCATTAAAAGAAAAAAAAAAAAACATACGAAACAAGTGCGCGAAAAATGAAGCACACAGAGGGAGAATAAGAAAAAAAAGAAAACCACCTTTCGGTATCCTGAACCAATTCCACCCCAGTGCATGACACATAACAAATGACCTCATCGAATTGTAAAATGGCCAAACGCGGGCGCAGTTACGGCACCGTAAGTAAGAACATACACCTGTACACACGTGACGTGCAAGTACACAGATGGCATCATATCCTCCCGCTTACTCCCTGCGTAGCAATTGACAAATCGGTGTGAAAAAAAAGAAAAAAAATTCACCACTCAGGATGCCATAGTCGTCTTCAAGTCATCTACACACTGGAGGATAAAAAGGGGGGGAGAAGGAAAATATGACAACTGGGCAGGTAACATGAACTGAGAAGATAACATCAATTGGGCAGATAACATAAACTGCGCATTAAGCAGTGTGGCATTTGTTTGTCCCTCCACGTTGGGCAGATATTTTTGTGCCCCTCTTTGGGCCTCCTTTCCTTTTTTATCCTACGTTCCCAAATATTTTTATTTCGTTCGCCTGGGATTCGATCTGCCAAGGGGGGGGAAACACACAGGTGTGGACATACACAGGTGAGGGAATGGACAGGCGTGGATATACACCGGTGCGGACATACACCCGTGTGAGCTCTTGTCCCGTGGACGGCGCGGCGGATGCGTCCATACCAGGGCCAGGATGTTCCGCTCCGTGTCATCCTCGGTGTTCTTTATTGTGTTCCGTATGGCCTTCAAGTTGTCGTAAATTTTCTGTAAGTTGTACTTATTTTTTGGTTTCTGCGCGGGAGGGGTACATTCAGGGCATTTTTTTGTAGAGCACCACGATGGGAACAGGAAGGTGGACAGATCAAATGGAGCGACGCTGACGGTGTCGCACTGTTCGGGCCGCCCTCCCTTCTTACATGTTCCCCAAAGGAGCTGACGTAACTCTTGGTGTCTTCTACCAATTCGGCGTTGTGTTTTCCCTTGAGCAACTGAACAGGCGGGGCGGGGGGGAAAAAAAGGCAACATGGTGACCTTGGGAAGAAGTAACCATAGGAAGAAGTAACCATAGGCAGAAGTAACCATGCGAGTAAATAACGCAGGGCCGATGCAACCACCGCGTTGCGCAGAGCCAGACACGAGGATGTCATTTTTCTCGTAATTACTGCTAGCAGTTCCATCATCTTCCTCTTGCTGCGTTCCACCTGAATAGAAAAAAAAAAAAAAAAAAAAAAAAAAAAATAATAGTAGCCAAATAATGGTAAAATATGACCATGCTCAGGTGAGTGCTTCGTCTGAGCGGGACACGAAGGCGCGCCACGTTCACATTTCCTGGCAGCAGCCACGCATCGGTGGACAGTGAAGGACACGTTGAAACTACATTTCACTTTGTCCACCCCTCCATTCCTGCACTTACTTCTTCCTCACTTAGCCAGTTTTTATTTTCTGAGGGTGCACTTGCACTTTGATCGGATACAGATGAACGGGCTGAGGAGGAGGTGTAAGACGATTCTCCTTTTCCGTGCCTTTTGTCCGTTATTTTTTGTTTCCCCTTCGTCGTGTATTCATTTGTAAGACCATCAAGTTCTGCACAGCCTGGTTGAGCATCCCCATTTCTGTTTCTACAAAATTGACTCTCGAGGGGGATGGCATCCTCACGTCGATGCTCCTTATCTCCATCGCGGAAGCTGGAGTTTATATGCTGCGGGTAGGGGAAGTATATATGCATAGTGTAGGATGAAGAGGGGGGACGATTAACTGGGTATGCGACACATCGATCTATGGGCCACTTCTTTTTTCTCATATGCTTCTTGGTTACATCGTTGAGGGTGTGCAGTTGATGCTCGATGACTCGGATCTGCCGTGGGGAGAGGAGGTGGGACAAAAAAAAAAAAAAAAAAAAA